CTAGTTCATCAAGATAGACAAGCTTGACCACCATGTCAAGGTAGCAGCAACGGTCGGGTACAAGTAGATCATAATTGATTAGTCGTTTAAAAGAGATCAGTAAACAGTTGATTTATTTATAGGTAATTTTTATTACAGACTGACATCATCCAGAGGAAAATTGTGAAACGAGAGTGAAGTAGACTAGTATTTCACTAGTGTCAAGGAGTCTACAGTGATGTGAACACACGTTCCCACTCAAAATCAAAACAAAGACCGTATGGTCTAGACATAGTCACACTGACTTTGACTGTTGAAAAAAATCTGAGATTAAATTGTACATATTTCTCAACCTTATTCATTCTACTATGGTAAAAAAATTTTCTACAAATGAGATCGGTGGGCTAGTGAGTCAGTTGTAACTACCGAATTCATGAAGCACGTTGTTGTAGCATTATTGTTGGTTAAAGTACATTTGTAGAAAGGAAAATGGTAAGGCAGTATTGTGGATTGGTTAAAAATAGACATTAACACCGTTGGAGCCGGCTCAGTGGTTTAAAGGTTAATCGTTCCCGCGCGAAACCGAAGGTCCTGGGTTCGGGTACCGTGTGCAGGATCTTGAATGCACGCTGTTGAGGAGTCCCATACTAGAACAAAACGGCCGTTTAGTGCTGCTTCCAAGTCTTTAGTAGTGATTTAACATTGGTCGGACCATGATCTCAATAAAAGATCAACAATCTCTAAAATGCCCCCAAATGTCCTGGTACAGCCGAAAGTGGGAGAGTCCGCTCTCCCTTTCCAAATGCTCTCACATGGCCACGCGTATATAACTTCTGCCAGGAAAGTCTTATTTACTGCCTTTACGTGGCGGGGGTGTTGTTTACGGAAATGAGAGGACGAAAAGAGAATGTCTGGAGCTTTAACCGGATCCCAAACCAATGGTGCACATGGACTCCAGTATTCTGAAGGAACAAATGGAGTATGAACTAATTATTGGTCACCGGATACCATGAGTTTGCATCTCCTTACGATGCTCCACTGCCTTGTGGATCAGATCTTCAGGTCGAAGGCTCGGAGTGTGGCCCCCTAAGTAGACCACCTTCTTCGGTTTGGGCATCCGGGCAGTACCACAGCCCTCACACATATCAAATGAGATCTGTGTGGCGCATATTTATTTGGTACCTCCTTGTATCAATATCTATGTGTTAAAATAAAAATAAATAAATAAATCTCTACAACCCTACACTGATGTTTGTAGAAAGTTGATTGTATTATTCAACAATCGTCTATTCTGTATTTATTTAAGACTAAGAAATATGAATTATGAGTTACAAGTGTCTGATCATATGTTTTTCCAAAGTATTCTTCGCCGAGTTTTTATATTTGAATGAAAAATAATTCACCTTCAGGTTCAAGTTGTTGTTCACCAAAAATTTGACTTTAGAGCACTGTGAAACCATGATTCAACCGTAAACCTTCGAATTCGTTGGAAAGTAACTATTTCGCATAATCAACTTTAAATACAATGTAACTTGTTACGTATGAATAAATGAGTTGTTTAAAAGTTATCTTAGACTAACTTATTCGAAAATTAACTAATTATCACTGTGAAAAGAGTGAATAGTTGTACTAACCGCGATTAGTTACGTCTTCCTCATCATTAACTAACTTCATTTGTTATTTCAATGGTTGAGATCATGAGTGAATTGAAGCTAGACCGCCATGGAAAACCTGGAAGCACTGGATGGTCGTTTCGTCCTATTGTGAGACTCCTCAGCAGTGTGCATACACGATGCCCCCCTCGCAAGATTCGTGACCAGGTCCTATCAGTCTCGCGCGTGAGCGCCTAACCACTAGACCACTGAGATTAGTAAATAATATAAACCACGAAATTCAATAATCTCTACAAATCCCCATAGTAATAACAATCATGTGCTTAATAGTAACTAATTTCAAGTGATAATTTCAGAAGTCATAGTGAAATGCAGTTCAATCTGTTTAGATTTAATGTAACAACTCATCAACGGCCTAGAGAAGATCACTGATCAATAACACGAGTTTGTTGAAACTATACATCCAAAGCATTCATTGGCGAATCATTGGTATAAAGGTCAAGTGGACCTGAAGGTCCAGAGTGAAATTCCTGGAGAGTTTGTAGATTTTCCCTGCTAAAAAGTCCAAAATTAGAACGAAACAGATGTATATTGCTTTCTAGTTTTCAGTGGCTATCTCACTAAAGTCAGTTCCTGATCTAAACCATGATATAAATAACTTGTTCGACTTATTATTCATGATATTATCATTTACGAAAAGTGAGCAAGAACTATGACAAATGTGTAGTCTATGGCTGAACATCGTGTAGAAGTTGCTATAGTTGTCAGTCTAAGAGAAGAGTTATAGGAAGTTAATAATTTGGAAACTAGAAGAGAAGCGAGAGTAGTCAGTCGAGAATCAACTTGAATTTCAAAACGCACAAGACACAAATGAATGGCTAAAGACTAGGTGTATATATTACATAAATATTTTATGTTTTCAAGTATCATTCAAGTCTTCAACTGGGTGATGGAAAGTAATGATGCTACTAGTTATCCAATAAACAGAGGTCGTGGCGCTTTTTAGTTTAATGTACAAGTTATTACGAGGCAAGCTCTGATTTCGAATATTTAAGGGAGAAATAAAAAGGGTAGACCAAAGAACACGTTTTACCGAGAATTGGGGACAGACATTAAAAGAATCAATCGTACTTGGTAAAAACTAGGAATGAGAGCCCAAAACGGATTTAGTTGAAGAATCCTGGTCGGAGGATTATGCTCCACCAGGAATGATAGGCTTAAGTTAATTTTAAGGTGACTGAAGTTAAAAATCAGCAACACAATGGTTCAGAGGTCAAAGACACAACATGAGACCGGAAAAACACTCGTTTTATACCTGATACTATTTTGAATTTACATTGATAAGATTTACCAGAATAAAACAAATCTCCACTGCTAATTAGTCGTCTAGTTAAAGTCTGTCTATGATGTAAACTTCATACAGTTCTCAATAAATTTGACTATTAGTTAGTACAGTGAAATCTGGGAATCGGGTTTAGTACCAGTTGGGATCGATTTGGAAGAAAGACGATCACTGCAAGTATGATAACTACAGAGACATCACTCTTCTCTCAATACAAGGAAAAGCCTTCAACACCATCAGCATTAACCTAGTGTGGGAAAGAACAAACCAGGTTCCAGCCGAGTATGAAATCAGAAATAATCGATGGAGGTGGATAGGACAACCAGTTACGTCACAAGGCAAGCCCTCACTCGGAATCCTCAAGGCCAAATGAAAAGAGGAAGATCAAAGAACACATTACGCCGTGAAATAAAGACAGACATGAGAAGAATGAACAACAACTGGATAGAACTAGAAATGAAAGCCTAGGACAGAGTGAGTTGGAGAATGCTGGTTAGCGGTCTATTCTCCATTCGGAGTAACAGGTGCAAGTAAGTAAGTAAGAGATCAACTTGGATCCCATTATTGATGTTTACGCTGATACTCTAGTCCAGTACCTTTCATTTTGAACCTCAACATGTTATTCATTAAGTCAATAAATGTATATAACAACTAACTTATCCAACAGGTATGAATATCACTGATAAGATTTCGTATTTCACATTGACATTATCAACAAGAAAATGTCCGGTATTTCTAAGTTTTCTTTCTTTATTGTCAAGAATTGTACACATTATTCCAAACTATGTATTAATACCATGTTGACAATGTAGTAATTCATATGCCATAATGTTATTTTACGATTAGTTTTAATAAGGTGTCTTTTTTCCATTTGGCTGAAATATGTCTAAGTTAGATCATATAATTGTCTCGGACATTGATCTGCAAGAACAACCATTGAAAACTAGGAAGCACTGAATCGTTGTTTTGTCCTAATATAAGACTCCTCAACAGTTGGTAACCGTGACTATGTGAGATGAAACCCAAGGACTTCTGTTTTGTTTGAGAACGCTAAACCTAATAAATTCATAGTTCACAACAAACTACAACAGTGGTTTGCTACACAATAATATTGTTCGTTTATCAATGGAAATCAGTGCAGAGTGAAATTCTGAATTGATTCAAGGTAATAGATGTTCAGCGCAATACTTATTTACATTCTGGGAATTCCAGTCATAACTCCGCCTTTATCTACTACCGGTCCCGAACGTGAGTAAAGGCGAGGGGTTGAGAGTGGGGTCGGTAACCCCCTCCCGTAGAAAACAACCTTGCCAAAAAAACATTGACCAGAATAAGTAATTTCAGTCATATCTATTCATTCAACATGACATTAGTTAATTAATAATCTCTGAGGAGAAAATTCATGTACAACAGTGGAACTTTTTCATTATGTAATTTTTACGCAGATAAACATGTAAGACGTCCTTGATATTGTATAACTTAGTGGGATATAATGTGGTGGTAACTATCATATTTGTTATTGATCTAAATCCAATTTAGTAGAGTATAATACAAAATCTGCTTGGCTATTACTTCAGGTTCTCTTGAATTTCATTTCTTCAAATATAAATGTAGATAGAATTGGAGAGTTTTCCTTTCATATACAATAAGTCAATCAAACAGCTATACACTCCGTAGAACTTGACACATGTGAATGGGTTCAAATTACCACCTTATATTAGCACAGCATGATCAAATGTTTTCAAAACAAATACCAGAATAGTAAGAGTATTAGAAGAGATTATATCGGGAGATTCCCCGTACTGAAGTCTTAAACGACAAGAAATAGATACATCTATGTCATTTACAAATGATTTTAAACTGTCCTAAAAAGTCTCTAATCAATAGTTTTAATAATCAGGTAGACTTCAACCAAATAATCTACATACATCAACATAGTTCAGTCCATTTGTCAACGTCTTCCTAGACTGGTTCCCCCCCAAAAAAAACTGGTGAGGAGTTAGACATGTTTTCCTAGTAATTCTATTTCATTATCCCATATATATTATTAAAATAATCCTACTTACCAGTTAGTTCTTGATTATGATTAACAGACCACATTGGTGCTTGTGAATCACTAATACTTTGTGTAAATAATCCACCAGCTACACTAATCAATTGTTCTTGTGTTGTAATCAATATACGTAATGCTTGTCTAGATGTATTATGTAATTTAGGAAAAATGTTATTATTTGTTCTATCATAAATAGTAGTAACAAATTCATTATGATCATGATCATCATGGTCATCATCATCATCGTCATCATCATCATCATCATTATCATCATGAACACGATGTTGAAATTGATCACAATTTAATTTATGTAATTGTTTTCTTGTTGTTAAAATATTTGATTCACGTTCAGCTGTTGTCCATATATAACAACCACGTTCTATATTATCCGTATGCTCTTAGTAACAAATGAAATAAACATTCAACATAATAATAATAATAATAATAATCAATTTAAATAAACAATATTCAATAAACATCAATATGTAAACCATACAAATACATTTTAATTTTCTTTTATAAATTTCCATACAATTATCACCCTTTCCACCCCCACCCCGTCCTTTTTTTATTTTTGTCCAAATGAATAAAAAGAATAATTCAGTTGAATTATATCATAAAACAGGTTAACTTTACATAGATACTGAATTCTTTCTATTACCATGGTAAATAAATACTACTTATATAGTGATTTAATCCATATATATATATATATGTATATATCTATATATTTTTATAATAATATATCCATCCATAGACTAGGGAATGAACAATTAAGAATATGAATGAATGCCAAATTTTGTACTAATATATATATATATATATTTAAGTAATAAAGAAAGAAGGAAAATTGAAATGTTTTAATCGATTAGTTACTATAAATGATTTCATCGATCAATGAGTAGGTAAGTAAGTAATAAGTAACTAAGGGAGTAAGTATGGGAATGATTTCTAAATAAGTAACTAAGTTTAATATTCGTTATTTAACAACCCCTATCATCACCTTTCTATTTCAATCATTAAATTCATGCTTCATAGTTGAACAGACATTCTAACTAAACGATACATACATATACATCTATCTATCTATCTATCTATCTATCTATCTATCTATCCATTGTATACTATGTTGAACTGACAATCTTTAATTATTAGAAAGAGTATTATTAGGAGTAGGAGTAGTAACTAGGCCGGATGAGAATTTGAGAAGTGAATTACTATTGAGATTAACAACATATGATTGGTTGAAAATATTGTTTCCAATTGTGTATATGCATATATATATATGTAGATAACATGGAAACATGATTAGTTCTTTGAATAAAAAGGGATGTACATATGTATAGATTTGTAATAGAGAGAGAGGGAGAGCTTATGCCAAAAAAGTTAATCGGTCTGATTTGGATCTGTCTTATCAGCTTTAGGTAAAAAAAACAACAACAAGTGAGATGTGTAATAGAGAATCAGGGACAAATTTAGAACATTTACGTGATTCACGGATGAAGAGACGATGTAATAATAATAATAATAATAATAATAATAATAATAATAATAATAATAATAATAATAATAATCATTGAATTAGATCTGAATAATTTGATCTTGAACAAAATCGATTTTATGATTGCATAATTTCATGATCAGTTTAAAGTATTTTCAGAACATTAACTACTATCTACTACCATATCCCTTGTGTGTGTGTGTGCGTGTGTGTTTACTGGTAGGGGAGGAAACCACTCTAGTGTACTTTCAGGAAAAATATTATACTTTACTGATAATTCTCAAGGATGCTAAAAATGACCTTGTGAAAGTGAAGCCAATCATTAATCAACCGGGACTCAGGTGATATAAATAAGTGATTTATTATTATAGTTGAGATCATGAACTGATCTTTACTAGATCACTACTGAAAACTAGTAGGCACTGGACGGCCATTTTATTCTTGTATGAAACTCTTAAGCAATGAGCATCCATGTCCCCAACACTGGGGACCGAACCTAGGACCCTCGGATTCACATGAGAAACTTTAATTTTTAGGCCAATGAGTTGGCATCCATTGGTGTTATTGTTTGACTTCAATCAGTTCACCATATTGAGGGTTACAAAATATCATGAGCTGATTGGAGTTAGACATTAACACCACTGACTCTCAGCTTAGAGATATAGTGGTTAAGTGTCAATGGGCGAAACTAAATACCCTTGGTCTGATTCCGGAGTCCATGGTCATTGGTGCCAACCGCTGAGGAATACTATGCTAGGATGAAACGGCCGTCCAGTGCTTCAAGGTTTTCGATGGTGTTCTAGTTTTGATCTTTTGGTGATTTCAACTATACAAGTTCTACATTATCGACAATCTCTCTATACTTATAATCACTTATTACTTACTTACGCCTGTTACCCCTCGTAGAGGAACATAGGCAACCTAACAACGCTCTCCATCCATTCTTGTCCTAACTAATCCTTCCCAATTTTTCCAATTCATCCTTTTCATGACTGCCTACAACTCTCAACGTATTGTGTTCTTCGGGCTTCCACTTTTTCGTTTCTTTTCAGGATTCCAAGTTAGGGCTTGCCTCATGATGCAATTTGATTTCCGAGATGTATATCCTATCCACTTCCGACGGCTTTTTCTAATTTCCTCTTCAGCTGGAAGCTAATGTATTTTCTTCCACAGTAGACTATTGTTGATAGTATCCGGTCAACGGATGTTAAATATCTTGCGTAGACAACTATCTATAAATACTTGTACCTTTTTGATGATGACTGTAGTAGTTCTCAAATTTTCCTTTTCGTACAATAGAAGTGTTTTGACTTTTGAACTCAAAATTATGACTTTGACGTTTCGCTGACAGTTGTTTCGAGTTGCATATTTTCTTCAACTGCAGAAATGCTACCCTTACTTTGTCAATCCGTGCCTTTACATTTGCATCTGATCCTCCTTGTTCATCGATGATACTTCCCATGTACGTGAAAGATTCTATATCTTCCAGAGTTTCTCCATCATGTGTGATTAGTTTGTTATCCGTGTTGTACTTGAGAATTTTGCTTTCTTCTTAGTGTATACTGAAGCCTACTCATTGGGAGGCTGTTGCTACACTAGTTGTCTTCATCTGCATTTGTTCATGTGTATGGGATAGAAGAGGCTAGGTCGTCTGAAAAGTTAAAATCTTAAAAAATTGATTCTGAGCTGTTCATGGTATTCCATGTTCCCACTCAAATGTCAAAGTCTTCAATCACTTATTACACTAATGTCCAGTGATAGGTTACATCAGAATTGAAAATCTGTCTTATGATTTACGATTAAAAGTACGATTGACAATAAGGGTTATCATTTAATGTTAATATTGTTCATTTGAGATGGTGGAGAAGATTTGTAGCTCAGGTGGATGATTTTGATGGAGTTTTGTTCTCTGAGCTGGATGGTTTGGTCGTGGAGCTTTCATCGTTCTTCTGAACGACATCATCAATAAGAACCAATCAACATCGAGGTGCACAGAACAAGCTATGAAACGCATATGGAGAAATTCGAACACTTCACTTCTATCTGAAGTTTGTGCTGATGATGTCGTTCAGAAGAACGATGAAAGCTCCACGACCAAACCATCCAGCTCAGAGAACAAAACTTCATCAAAATTGTTCATTTGAATTAAGATTATGAATTGATATTAGCAGTTTATGGATAGTTTCGAAGGATGCATTAAAGACAAACAATAATTGAATGAATAATATTATAGTAATATTAATGAGTATTGAAATAGTTATTGCTCTCCTTTTAACTACATCTATTTCTATATCTATGACTTACTAGGGAATGTTTCATTCATTCTACTCATAGAGATAAACAACTTTCTATCATGTTCATGTCAACTATTAGATAGTATCATATTAATATGAGATAGTTATTACTTTCTCTTTAGTTTTCAATTCTTTTTTCTCTATCTATCTCTCTCCCTCCCTCTCTCTCTCTCTCAATCTAATCAAGATTAATCCATAATGATAAATTCAGTGGATAAATTCTATAGCCTAATAAAGATGACAATTTTTCTTTACTCAATAATACATATGCTACTTATATCGATAGATATAAGTAGTATGTAAGACCTATTTAAAGTAGAATACCTGGAAGTGGAATATCGGATTATGGAGAACAAGAATGGAGGCACAATGAAATTTGCAATAGACAACTGATGAAAGATATGCATATGAAGTATTTAATGTATGGATTTTATGTTTTATCAAGACATTCTGTAATTTTTATATAAAAGGATTAATTGGTCTTCCTTACTTGAATGATCATTCATTACAAATATTCAAATTCTCTGATACGGCCGAAGTTAGGGAGAGTCAGTTATCCCTCTTCAAATGCTCTCATATGCCCACGTGTATACAGACACTTCAAGGGAAGTCTACGAAATTGAGAGTATGAAAATAAATATCTGTCAGGAGCTTTAACCGGGTTGGTGGACACGGAGGTTCTAACTAGAAGAGTTGGAAAACCCTAATTCCAAAACAATGTTGCACATAGGCTTTAGTATCCTGAAGGATCAAATGTCTTATAAATTGATCGTTGGTCAACAGCCACCATGGGACTACATCTCTTAACGTTGCTCCTCTGCCTTATAGATTAGACCTCTAAGTGGAAGGCTCGGGTTTCGGCCCCATAAGAATAACATCGGCTTCAGGTTCGACAATTAAAATTTGAGAAGTTTATATGTGAATACATGAATAATTAGACTATTTCAGCCATTATGCTAACTACATACCAATTACTCCTACTGCTCTTCTGTTATCAGTTAGATCTAATTAAAAGAGTAATCATTCAAGTGAATTCGATAGTTGTGAATAATTGACACCTTCAAACTTATATATTTGGTTTATTGAGTATGAAGCAGTTACTCATCCGTTGATATAGAAATAGAGTCTTTTCATATTATGAACTGATTGAATTCAGATATGCTAACTTTAGAAGACTAACTCAATTGTCTTGATTCAGAAAGCTTATGACGAGACTTAATGATCCTAACTTGGCTTCCATGAATAACTATACTTACACACTAGACTGAAAAGATCATCCAGTGCATTCAAGTTTTCAATGATTCAAACGATGATATTCAACAATTCCCTCAAACCCCCGTACATTAGAATTGGAAGATTATTCGTTAACATTTAGAAATGAATATAAAATTTTTTACCTGTAATAAGTTCACGATGTGATGTGAAATATAATTCAACACAACCAGTTGATGGAAAAATTGTCTCTACAATAATAAAAGACAATATATTTACAATGGAAATCTACTGAAATTGATTTAAGTAGTATATTGAAAAGAATTAGCATTAGTTGACCTACAAATTTGATAGAAATGTGAAGTTCGATATTATGACAAGACTCTAATTTAAGGATGAACTAACTGGATTTAGAACAAAAGCACTAAGATTCTGATATGAAATTCATCTATCCATTCAGTACTATAGGTGATGTCAGTTCGTGCTAAAAATTATAAATCTAATACCTGACGAGAACTCCGGTGACACTATAATTTATGAACGAACCAATCAGATTTGAGATTTTGGCACAAAATTCATTCATTGATTTGGCTACATAGCGTTCTGGCATTCTAGCTAATATCAGTTCATGATAGAAAACCTTAAATCTAATTCCTAACCCCTAACTATCATAATCTTTATTTTTCATACAGATTTATAACTCTCGTTTAGCTCTGGTAAATAGATGAACATCCCTAGGTCATCTTAAAGATCGTCCATAAATTATAGTCTCATCCTAACTCCTAATCCTGATTCCTTACATTAATTTATAACCTTGAACTAGTAAGTAGTTTAAGTTTCTCGAGGTCACTTTAGTGTCTTTCAAAGTTCATCCATAAGTTATAATAACTTACAGGGTTTCTATAACTTGATTGTTCCAAAAGTTCTATGATGATGATGATGATACGCTGTATGACTATATGTAGTCTTCACGATTGATCAAGTGATTGGAATAGTGATTGTTCGTACTGATTAATTACCTAATAGATGATTAGACAAGTAGAATTCTGCAGGTTATTCATTAAGTTGCAATCATCTTTCGGCTGTTGTGTCTTTTTCGAATGTGTTACAATTGATTGATCACTGAACTGTGATCAGTATCATGTTTGTTTAGATTTTCAAGGTACAGATGGAAGTCTAAGTAGTTGAATTTTGTGTGAACCACTATGATACGTCAGATGGTTGAATAAAATTGTAAGTTAACTGGCCGTGTGTATCAGGTCCTTCTTAGTTCAAATCGAATTCTATAGACCAAGTTTCAATGTGATCACTAGTCTAGGTGACTCGAAATTTCGTGCATTATGTTGAGATAAGATGATGGTTGATTGCTGACGAGTGCCAAGTAGCACGAAACTTAGATCCAAGTTTTCCTGTTATCTACCACCAACCACTACTTTACCTGTGCTCAATTATATTTGAATTGGAAGTGAAAGTTGTTATGATTTGATGTCCGGCTTACGATCACGTGACTTATACACCAATCAGAATACGGCTTATACGAATATTCGCACTATGACAAGACCAATGACGTTCAACCGGTCTGAGCAGTCTAGCGTCCTATTGGGTCCTACGTCCTTCTAACCCGTCCTCTTGAGTCCAGAACACAATACCAGCTTCTGAATCAACCAAAATCGAACCAAATCATTTATTTCAGACATACTCGGTTTATATATCAATCAGGCAGACCACAACGTACCATAAAATAGAAAATAACATGTGTACACAAATAGGCCAAAAAGTGGCTGTGAATGTGGGAGACAGTGATTAATAAACTGAGCATAATTTAGGGACAGTAAATCGTACAATGATAAATTATAGGTCAAAGTGAAGCTTATGATAAGGGGAATATAAATATACATAATCTAACTATTAAATAATTACACCGTAAGAATATATAGATAATATTAGTCAATTAATGTCTCAGAAGTTACTTGTGATTTAATCTTTGCTCGGATATAACAAAAGTTGAATATTGGACATTTGTTTCATCCTTCCCCCTACGTACTACCTGGATGTACCTAAATCTCAATGTATATGTTCACACTGAGACTTGAATCAAATGTCCAACATTTCAAACGTTAATGGGCTATTCATTAAACTACAGAGTTCAAGGAGCAAATGATCTGTTGAACAAAATGGATTATCCTTTATAATACTTTGATTTCCTACCCATATAATCTCTTTGAGTCAAAAAAATGATTAACTTACAACTGGTTCACAATGCCTCATCAAACGTATTCATCTCAATCAGTTCTCATAAGGAAGAGGTGTTATAAGAGAATGCATTTCGGTAACTCGAAATGGTTATGATAAGTTGAATGCTTATATGATTACTATAGACAAACTTGAAACTTTATAAAGTATAGACTTTGTATATTCAATAAGTCTCATTAGCATTTGATTGCTTGCCAAAAGGTTTTTTTAAGTTGACTAATTAATTCAGTTCATTGTTATTATAAATTATTCTAACATTTGTTAACATGTACCACAAATGATACATAAAAAGGTATCCTTTTACTTCTTAAACAATGAATATGCAACTAAACAGTTATGAACATGTTAATTTACAGATGTAAATCATAACTTTTGATGACTGAAAACTTGGATAAGTTTGTTGTATCTACTCAAAGATTTCTCCAAATCACTATCTGCAAATCAGTGTTCGTAAATATAAGTTTAGACGAGGGTTACAGGATAGAAATAATGAATCATTTGATGAGATTATAGTGGATGGGAAACCCCGTCTGGAGTCCCTGAGGAGGGTTGGGCATGGGGTTAGCGACCCCATCCTGTAGAAAACTAACTCGCTAAAAAACGCTAACCAGAAAAAAGTCATTCAAACCATAATGGATGGGACAGACACTAGGATAGATGTAGGTTTGTTGAGGACTGAGGGTTGCCGAATTAAAAGTAGAGATCTCTTTACAAAGTTAATGACTGGTGTCTAGAATCTTTATAAGTAACTCTGACAGTCATCATGAAGGACTCTGTTTTGTCATATTGTTTCGATATACATAAGCTTGTTAAATTCTTTTTAATACGGTAACTTATGATCAATTTTAACATCTGCCGGGTCCTTTCTTCAATAAATTTGATAACGAAGTTCAGTGAACTTATTGGAATCCTGAGCAGATTGCTTCCGTACTGCTATCTGTAACAAGCATTTTTAAACAGAGTTTCACAGTGGCTAGTAGTGTAACGCGAGACTCACGATTTTTCCTTCATGAGAATTATCAACAAGAACTTGAACCAAGTACATTTATGTTCAAATGTTTGCGACCTAATGAGAATGTCAAGCCGATATGCTCAGAATGTACGTATACCAAAAAGAGACTGATATCGGGAAGACTCAACACATGTACAAATAAATTATTGTTCAACCCCGTTATACAACACAGTAACCATCTGGACTCAATAGTGCGTTGGCAGTTTAATCGAAAGTTACTTGGTTTTAGTCCCGGAGTGAATCTTGACCCTGTGAGACAGGCACATCCAAGTGACGAGTCCCAAAAGGGTCGAAGTGTGAGTTTCCGATTTAATTGTTCACTAATATCAAATTTCACTCAATATTTTATTGCTACAAGTTCATTCTTAATTGGTGAAGTAAAAGCTGAATCCGTTTGGATTTATTAACGTAACTAATATTTTATTCATTTTTGTATTGGTTGTTTGAAACTTCACATTGACATTTAGGACTGCAATTGACCATTCTCTTTCTTGGCATATATGCATCCTGATCAGATTAGCTCTATGTGGCTTTAAGTCATAAGCAGTGGAATGTGGAACGTGAGTTTTGTCTCCCTTGAGATACGTCAGCTGTAAGAACCTGAATCTCCCAGTTGATATACACTCCGAGACTCGAACGTAATACCTTTAGCTTCAAATGCTGAAAATGCTAGTGACTTAGGGCAATATCGAAGAAATCCACACAGGATGTATATACATAAGAGACTGATCAATTACCGTTTTAAACGTCAATAGAAAGATTCAAACAGCCAATACAAAACAGAATTAAACTTCACTCCATTTCACAAGCTGGTGACTATCTTGACTCGGTAGTTGACCAGATAACACGATGGTATTCGCAGTGATCAATACTGACTTCTAATCACAGAGTGAACATCAGCTCTGGAATGTAGATACATCTAGGTGACGAGTCCTTAATAGGATGAAACGCGCATCATAGATTCCACAGCTAGCCACCATCCATCTCTACTTGCAATTAATGCTTCATTAGAGATATTGAATGGGCCATTCGATCTTAATTTGTCTAGAATAAGCGTTGATTATTTGTTAGTGAATTCATAATCACACACAACAAACACGTACACACAAACATCATCAGAACATTTTCCCTATTGCATTCAATCTGAAATAATGCGTATTTCTATTCATGAATCGATTGATTGATTGATTGACCACCACTGAAAATCTGGAAGCACACTAGTAACCTTCTCCAAGGTGATTTCCTGTAGTTCTAGTGAGAAGCAGTGATCACTGCAGTTTGATCCGTATTAGGGGGAGACAGGTATCTACCTCAGACAATAGATGAATGGTGGCTCAACCATTCATGGATCGATGGAAGTTAAACATAAAGGTTAAGCGTTCGTACACAAGAACGAAGGTTTTGGGTTTAAATCCCAAATGTAGAAACATTGGTGCGCACTGCCTACTGAGAAGTACCATACTAGGACAAAACAGCCATCTAGTACTTCTAACACCGACCGATTCATGATCTCAATCAGAAAACTTAAAATCCTCCACAATCCCATACTGATATACAATTTTTTTCAGACAAGAAATTGATATATATATATATATATATATATATATATATATATATATATATATATATATATACTGTCTATCAACCAACACCAAAGTCAAAATTTTCAATACAAATGTCAAAACAGTTCTACTGTATGGGGTGGAAACTTGGAGAACTACGAATGCCATCATCCAGAAGATACAGGTGTTTATTAATAGCTGTCTACGCAAAATACTTCGGATCCGTTGACCAGACACTACTAGCAATAACCTACTATAGGAGAGAATAAACCAAATCTTAGCAGAGGAGGAAATTAGGAAGAAATGCTTCAAGTGGATAAGACACATATTGATGAAAACACTGAACTGCATCACAATCCAATCCCTCATCTAGAATCCTAAATTTCAAAAGAAAAGAAGAAAACCAAAGAACAAATTCCAGCGGGAAATGGAGACAGACATAAGAAGAATAAACAAGAATTGGATAGAACTAGAAATGAGAGCCAAGGACAGAGTGGGTTGAAAAGTGGTGGTCGGTGGTCTTTGCTTCATTGGGAGTAACAGGCATGAATAAGTAAGGAAGTTAGTAAGGACATAATGGCAGATTCATAATAATAGTTGATTTTTTTTCTTTTTCCGGAAGTAATGTAATTTATTACGAATTCTTCATATTGATCATCATAGTAACAAAAATTTATTGTTTTATAAATTTTCATAAAAGGATTAATGTGTTTGTTTGTTTTTTGTATTTTTTGTATTTTTTTTTTGTTTTTTCAGAAAAAAAAAGGAAATAAAAATTGAAAAAAAAATTTTTTTGGCTGATTGGAATCATTCTTTTTTCTTTCAAATCATGTGCTTTCTTTTTTCAAAAATGAGACATTAGAAGAAGGAAATTTGTTAAAATTTATTACAAACCACGTATATACTACTAGTGTGGTGTGAACTACTTAAATTCACATAAGTAGTATGTCATGATAGTCAGGAATAGAATGTATTTCAGTAGATGATCAAGAAGAAAAGAACAGAAACGGAAAGTAATCGGTATAAAAATGCGGCAACAATGAAATCTAAGACAATGAACTGATATTTTCAAAGGGAACAGTCAAGTTTGAGATAATCGATTGGTGATTCTCAGATTTTAGTGAGTTATTCTGTAATTTCATGTTCAAATACAACCGATTGCCTCCACTTATGTTCTTGTTCACTACGCTAGTACGACAGAGACTCTTCTTTTTTTTTCATAAATTTTTCTATACTACTAACGGTAGTAGATAATCTAGTTTCTGGTAATTGTTATTCATTGAGGAAGTAAAATTTTGGCTACCGAAGATAAGCGGGATTCTCTGATATGAAGGATCTATCAGTAGAAGTTAGAGATTATTGATCATAACCAATCAGACATATGAACCTCAAGGTCTTGTATAAATGAACGATATACAAATTTACTTTGACTAATGAGTTCTATGGGATTAGGTCACTTGGCATTGTTAGACTGCCATATGGATTAGGTTTAACAGTAATAATTCTATAAGAAAACTATTTACATTAAATTAAGTTTCTGGACAGTATCTCAGCTTTAACACAAGTATTATTCATGTGACTAGCGGAAACTATGGATGTTTGTGTTTGATTATTCATTATACTACACACCAAAGACCTTCACTTTTCAATCCTTACAATACTAAGCTGACATCCATTGGTGTATATTTTCAAATTCAATCGATTAATAGTGAAATAAAAGAATTATTCGATGTTATTAGAGACAACGATTCCATTCAAGGTATAATTGATGTCTACTAGTCACAACTTCACATTTGAACTTTTAAACATAATCTCAAAGTAAATTCATATTGAACAGAAAGTTTTACTATTGTCGAGATGTTTTTTTGGAAGATTAGTTAGAAATGGGAATCATTGAATCTTAATTCAGTGACTAAATGGGTAATCATTGTTGCAGTGTCTTGAAGGTCATGTTCCAATTTCCAACTGGGTGATAGATGATCACTAATGAAGAGGACTATACTTCAAAGTACCTGATCAGTACTTTTTAGATTTTAATAAAACCGTAAATGCTGTCAATCGATGATGTGTGATACTTACAAATGATAATTATCTCCACAAATCCACTTAATCTAAGTACCCATTTAACGTATTGACTTCCGTTGTAGTCGATGAAATTTTAAATCCCAAACAAAATGTATTGGGTTCTAGCCTTTGTTAAAACATCACGAAAAGAATGGTTAGATACTAAGTTAGCGAGTTTTCTGTAGACGGAAAAGCATGCTGTCCATATTGTACTACAGGTTACCATCCAAACTGTATCTAACAGAAGTAAATGGTGGTTAGCATAGGAATCCAGGACGAATGTTTCATCTTATTTGGGACTTATCGACTTATTAATGTATTTGCATTCCAGTGTTAATGTTTACTCCTGAACTCGAACACAGTACTGTACACTTCAAACGTAATCGAATCCTAAACATTAATGAAAATAACCAATTACATTCATAAATCGGTAAAGTTTTGATTAACAAACTTACATCATGATACAACTAATAATCAAATTGTAGCAAAATAAATGTCAACTTACTCTCACATGCCTCGTCTAAATCAACTTTGAAAAAGGATAATTTTTCAGCATCCACTGCACATGTATGAAATTGAGCTCTAATAAAAGTGAATAACAAAGATTAATGATTAACATGGAACAATGTCCTGTTTTAATGGTTATTTAGGACTTCAATTGATCAGTTTATTGTTGGCAATATGGACATCTTATACGGACTGCCTCGATACTGCCAGAAGTCACAAACATTATAAGCAAAGATGGATGGTGACTAGCAATGGAGTGCAGGACACGTGTTTAGTCCTATTAGCGACTCGTCAGCTATATATACCTTAATCCCAGAGTTAACGTTCACTCCGGGACTCGAATCTAGTACCGTTCACTCCAAACACTTCGCTTCAACACTTAGCTACTGAGTCATGATAACCGATTGCTTGTACAATAGTGTGAAGTTGAAATTTATTTGGTGTTGTTTACTTGAATCATCCCATTGATGTTTCAGACCGCGATTGACCTGTCTCTTATTAGCAGAGAAAATCTTCAATATCACCCAGAATTCATATGACGAACTACGCTACAAAGTCGCGTATGGGAGACAATTGTCAGACGCATTCCATGTGAGGACCGAAGTCAGACAAGGCTGCCTACACTCCCACTTTCTCTTTCTGTTGTTAGTTGACTACATTATGAAGACCTCGATATCTGACGGGAAGCACGGAATACAATGGACAAGTTGGATGCAACTAGACGATTTGGACTTCGCAGATGGCCGGGCCCTTATATCTCATGCATAAAAACAAATGCCGGTGAAGGCAGTTATTGTAACAGCGGTCTCTGCATCAGTAGGTCTCGAAATACACAAGGGAAAAAGCATCATCCTCAAATAGAACTTAGGGAGCACCGAATCAATTACACTTGATAGAGAAGCCTTGAAAGTTGTGGAAAGTTTTACGTACATGGAGGGGTCGTATACAAATGTAAAGGCAAAGCTTGATAAAGCAAGGAAAAAATACATACAGTTGAAGAAAATATGGAACTCCAAACAACTGTTTGACAACCAATATCAAGGTGAGAAGCATTGAGAACTACTGCAACCAACACCAAAGAAGTATAAGTATTTCTAAACAATTGTCTACAAAAGATACTCAATGTTTGTTGACCAGATACCATTAGCAAAAAACCAACTTCTAATTGGAGAAGAATCTAGAAGAACTATGGTAGTGTATAGGGTACACATTGAAGAAATAATCAAACTACATCATGAGACAAGCGCCAACTTTAGATTCCTAAGCGAAACCAAAATTAGGAACACCAAGGAACACACTGAGTCAAGAAGTGGAAGCAGACATGAATAAGATAAATAGCAACTTGAAGGAACTGATATGATATCATGGGAATTAGATGAAAATATAGCACATTTGTAATTGAAACACCAACTGTTTATAGTTCACTTATATGGGATTGAAAAGCAAACATCTCCAGCGGTCGGTACTGTTATATCCTAACTAAGAATAAATGAATGGTAACTTCGAGGAGTTATTCATGGATTGTTACTATATGTATTCTTACTGTATAATTATTGTGTAACTACATATATTACTTTTGAGTAACTAGATTATATATATTTATATTTCTCTTCTTATAAGCTTTCATTTGATCTTTTGTCTATTATCATACGATACTATTCTTAAGTTATTCTCAAACTATCAGTTACAGTCTCCGACACTCACAATCACATTAGGTCTAATCTTGTATAATTGTTGTTTTCTATTTGATTGTGTGATGTGGTCTTGTTTGTTTATATATAAACTGCGCATGCTTGATATGTAGAATTCATACAGTGAAAGCTGAGATTGAGTTCTGGAATCAATGGGTAAGACAAAGCAAGAAGAACCATTAAGGACTTATAGTTGACTCTAGGCTGCTTGTGCCGGTCCCCACGTTATTGGTTTGGCACAGTGCCAAAGTTGTACAAATCGGTGTTTTGATTAGCCATCTTGTCACATGATAACTGACGGGCTATAAAACACAAGAGAAGCATCCACAGTCAAAATTCAATAAATAGTAAAAGTGAATCGGAGAGAAATCACATGTTATACGTTTCGAACACTCCGCAGACCATGGTATTAGATCGCATCTTTTTAATATTGTTTTTTACTACTTTATGAAGTTATAGTCGTATAAATACATTAGGATGTTACGTATGGAATTTCACCAAGAGTTTAGAAGTCTGAAAAATCGATTTGAAGTGGTTTTTATTTCTGTAATTTTGTTATCCTAAAGTAGATAAGATAAGCAACTAATGGTTTGGGTATGATCATAGCATGATTCGTTACAATCTATTTTCGTTTACTGTTTCTCCTCCATCATCGTTAAATGAATTATTCCATAGATCATACAAAATACATATCACTTGGATGTACCTGCATCACAGAGTGAACATCAACTCTGTGATTCAGATACATCCAGATGACGAGTACCAAATAGAACGAAACGCGCGTTCTGGATTCTACTGCTAGCCACTATCTATCTTTCCTTATAATGCTTGTGAGGTAATCCGCACGGGATTCCAACAGGTGATTGATCAATTGCAGTCCCAAACAACAATGAGAAGACACAAGTAAAACAATATCAAAGGAATAAAGAAATACTTCAGAAGAATATATTCAGAAAAGAACTTCAGAGAACGTAGTACACGTACACTTTCGGGAGTAAGATAGATTTGATTTGATACACCATTTATAATGATATGATTATACAACTGGCAGAATATCTTGAATGTGATCGTTAGATAATCTAAGACTAAATTTGTATGATAAACGTATGGCACAAGGAATCCATAAGGATGAAACTGCAGTTAAACAAATGGGATAAAAACAAAAGGAAACAAATAATCAGCTCACCGAAATAAACATTCTTGAAGTTGTGTTGAAAAGTTTGGTTGTATGTAACAAGCGATTAGAACATCACCATGCAATGGTAACACTGGTTCAATTGGAAAAATGTATCGTTCCACTCGAAAATTCACATTTGGGCATCTAAACAATATTTGGAAATAAGGTGGGGGGGGGTATGAATGCAAAAACAAACTTGTGATTACTCGCATAATCAATTGTATAGCAAAATGATCCAAAACATTTCATGTACAAGTAGCCTCACTTTCCTTCTACAGTTACACAACTTACAGCATCTTTTGGGTGTAAGTTGGTTGGAGGGAGTTAGTTAAAAACTATGGACTTGGATTTCATACAAACTGTGATTTGTCATCAAGGATGATATTCAGATCGATGACACTCAAAATCACAGTCTTAGATGTTACCGATGATCTACTTAGATCATCAGTAGTTGATTACTGTGTAGTATCTAATGCGATATTTTTGTGATCATCAATGAAGTTACAAAACTTCATGAGAATTCGTTACAAAGATAGCTTTCCACTTATAGATCAATAATTTCTAGTTCATGTCACTAACTGACTTTATTCAACTAGTTATCAAAACTCAGATTGTACAGGAAACTATTACACTATGATATAGAACTCCTTATAAGTTAACCAGTCATATGTTTCCTATTGTTCAATAAAAAAACTCATCAGTTGGATGTAGCCCAACTTCAGTTATGATGTTTCCACCATTGTTTGAATCTATTATTATCAATTTTAAATTTTATGAAGCTTTCATATTTTGTTCTATATACCTGTGATCCAATATGTTTACACAGTACTCTACTAGAGGACCGAGAAATGGGAGATTCGTTTCTTCATATATATTGTCTATGTATATTCACAAATATGCATAACATTAGGTTGAATTGTAGTGAACAAGAACACACAATTGTCTCAGATTTGATTGTTCCCACATTTTCATATCAATTGCTTTCTGTTCCGGTTCTTTCCTTCTCGACCTACTGCTTATATTGCTTGTGACTTAAGGCAGTATCGAGGCAATACTCACAGTATACATATTTGCTAATAAGAGACTTATCAACTGCAGTTCTAAACATCAATGGGAAGATTCAAGTAAACAATACGAAGTGAATTTAAACTTCACCCCATTACACAAGCAATCGTCTACCAGGTATTAATAGCTGAGTGGATAACGCGATGGCGTTTGAAGTAAACGGTACTGGGCCCGAGTGTCAGAGTGAACATCCACAAGACTGGGATGAAGGTATATCCAGCTGACGAGTCCCAAATAGGATGAAACGCTCATCCTAGATTTCACTGCTAGTCACTATCCATCGGTCATATATCTACTTGTCAAAACAATTATATGTAAACACAAATGAAGACCATTTATCAATTTACGTCAGTATGGATACAAATATACGGGAAGGACTAGTCGAACAATTCAGTTTGACGGTTTTCGAACAGTCAGCATCGAACGATGTGGTAAACACATGTGCGAGAAAATCATACACCTTGGAAGTGACACATATAATTGAGAAAGGATATAAGATTGATCATAGAACAATATTTAAAGCTATGTCAATAGTGTCAACCACAAAATTTTTGGCTTGAAGAAGGCTAGGTCATTAAGGTTCCTTTGTGTGTGTGTGTATATATGTACAAAAAATAATTTCTTTTAGCCTTGAACCAAACGTGATAATGTGGTGTGTCTTACTGATGTCAACAGATATAAGTAGTATGTTTTATCAATTGAAAAAGAAATGCCTGGTGTCGGAAGGTTAAGAAGACCAAGGAACAGAGAATGAGAACAGTGAATGATTGGTGTCTGACATGATTGATTGACATTTTGTAAATGAAGAATTTACTGTGTGGATCTCAGATTCCAGTAAGAGATTCTGTAATTTTGTGTTCACATGCATTCGATTGCCCCTAGTTGTGTGCTCTCATTCACTACAATAATAGTTTATCTATTTTGAACGTTATATCAACTCTCTTACATTTCAATCGTCATTTTACCATTTCATTTCATTGAATTTTATTAGTTTTCTTGTGTAAATACCATGACAAGTATTGCTCTCTGAGTTGGACAGTTTGGTCGCGGAGCTTTCATTGTTATTCTGAACGACATTATCAGCACAAACACTTCAGGTAAACGTTTATGCTGATGATGTCGTTCAGAATAACGATAAAAGCTCCATGACCAAACCATTCATCTCAAAGAACAAAACTTCACCAGAATCATCCATTTGAGTTACAAATCTTCGTCATCATCTTGAGGACTAAATATATGATCAATATTCAAAATATACAATGTAAAAATATTTCAGATCATGAAATATTTTAAATAGTAAACTGATAGATGAACAAACAAACACAATTACTAAATTTAATAGTTGAGATCATCAGTCAGTCAAAGATAGACCACCATGGAAAACATGGAAGCATCGGACGGCGGTTTCGTCCTATTGCTGGGCTCTTCGGCAATGCACATCCACGATACACCCTCGCGAGATTCGAACTCAAGACCTATCAGTCTCACGCGCGAGCACTTAACCACTAGACAACTGAGCCGGCACGTCAACTAGACCACTGAGCTGATCGAAATCCAACGGTGTGAATGTCTAACTTCAACCAATCCACGAAATTGAGTGACACATCTATCATTGTCCTCAGTGAGTTACTATCACATAACAGACGCGTTTAAACTCTACTGATCAGTAGAACTCCAGGAAATACCACATGAAGCCAGTCACTAATGAGCATATGTTGATTAATATTAGAAGGGGTTTTTTGTAGATATTATAGTAGTCTTAAAAGTTGAGATCATGAGTCAATTGAAACTAGATCATTATCAGAAGGGGTTTTGTGGAGATTGTAGTAATTTCATTGATTAAGATCATGAGTCAGTGCTTCCAGGTTTTCCATGGTGGTCTAGCTTCAACTGACTCATGATCTTAATCAATGAAACTAGATCGCCATGGAAATCCTGGAAGCCTTGAACAGCCGTTTCTTCCTATTGTAGGACTCTTCAGCAATGCGCATCCACGATCCCGCCCCCTGAGGTTCTAGTCCAGAACTTATCAGTCTCGTGTGCGAACACTTAACCACTAGACAACTGAACCGGCACATCAATCATTAACTTCAGTGAGTTACTATCTTACAACAGACCTGGTTGAACTCCACCGGTCATTAATTCTCACTAAAACTCCAGCAAATACCTTTTAAAGCTAATCACTAATGAGCATATGTTGATTAATATCAGAAGAAATTTCGGTATAATTTTAACAGTTGCTAGTTAGAAACAAAAAAAAAAAAAGAAGAAGAAAAAACTTACAAAACTCTTGTCGTATGCATTAAATTTAAATTTTGATAAATTTTTAAAAAAAGACCACATTCTTTATCAACAAATGTTTGAAATTGTTTAAATGATGGTAATTTATTAAATGTCGATTGATCAGTTTGTTGTTGTTGTTGTTGCTGGGGGTGGTGATGTTGCTGGGGTTGTTGTTGTTGCTGGGGTTGTTGTGTAATCATTGTTGTTTTCAATAAATCAATTGGTGTGGAAAATATTTGATCCCATCTTTTAATATGATCAATATCATCATCATTATCATTATTATTATTATTATTATTATTATTATTATCATTATTGATTTTATTTAAATTATCGATTAATAGATCATTTTGATTGAATGATATAAATGTTTCTTTAATCTTATTATGATCATGATGATTATGATATTGTATTTTATTTGTTATAATTTCATCTGGTTGTGCATATAATGAATTTTCATTATTATTTTCTATAATTGCATCTAATGGTTGACCAAGATAACGTCCTCTTGATGAATCACGATAGACAATTGTATGTAAATAAACTAAACGATCTTGTAAAATTAATGCACCAGTTAATAAACCAGAAAAATATCCAACATATCTAGAAGAGGAAAATTAAAACAAAATGGATCAGAATTGAATCTTATGTTATGCCCCAATAAACATAATGAATGGTAACTGTTGGGATCCATTTATGGATCAATACTATACGTATATTTTTTTATTGCGTAGTTGCTAAGTAACTAAACTCTTCATTTTCATGTTCCTTTTATTATAAGCTTTATTTTGATCTATGCACTATGATTATACGATTTACCATTCTTGAATTATGCCCTGTCTATTAATCACTACCCTACCTCCCTCATTCAAAGTCAATCTTTTGGCCAAACCTTTTACAAATGTTGTTTCCTATTTTATTGATACAATGTGGTCTGCTTGTTTGGTAATATAAACCGAGTAAGTTTGAAATACAGGATTCATATCGCAGAGGCTCGGATTGCTGTTCTGGATTTAACTGGCTGGGCGAGACAGGAAGTGAGACCAATCAGGACTCTAGGCTGGTTGTACGAGTTTTACACGTCATTGATTCGATCGATAATTCACTGCTCTTTAATCGGTGGTCACAAGTTCTAACAAATCTATAGTTAGAACTCAATGTAATTCAACCATTTCTACAATTGTACACTGATAATATCCAAATATTATGTAACCACTAAACATAGTAATGATAAGATGTTCATTATGGAAAATTCAAAGATCAAATGTTATCATATCGATGGGACGATCATTTATGCATGATGATCTTTGATTGAATCTTAAGTGACTTTGAGAAATATTAGCCAAACAGAAAACAGTTAGTATAAAGTAACACTAAAGAATTGAAATGAATACACTTCTTTTATCAATTTATGGGTCATTAAGATTGTTAAGTTTTTGATTGAGATCATGAACCGATTGATGTTGGACCACCATTGAAAACCTGGAAGCACTGGACGGTCGTTTCGTTCTATTGTGAGACTCCTCAACAATCCCCACAATCCATTAATTGATAATTACTATGTGCTCACCAGTGACTACGTTCGTGAGAAAATTCTCGGAGTTCTGGTGAGAAGTAGTGACCAGTGGAGCTAATCCGTGTCGGGTAGAAACAAGTGTCTACCTCAGTACAATGAAAGATGGTCGCGCAATTTCGTGGATTGGTTGAGGTTAGACATTAACACCATTGGATCCCGGCCCAGCGGTCTAGAGGTTAAGAGTTCGTGCGCGAGACTGAAGGCCTTGTGTTCTCATCGAAAGACAACACTATCATTACGTTAGTCTGCACAAAGTCCGTAAGTCATTCGATTGCCACAATTACAAATAAAGAAACTTCTTAATAGTCCTATTTGTTTTAGCCGCTCAGTTATCACGTACGTAAGCATCAGGTACTAAAATTGGCGTCGTGACTTTGAAATCCCTCAAATGCTCCTGATTGGCTCGTCCATAAATTATAATCTCGCTGTTATATCTAACTAGTCAGTTCTATTTCGGGTTATCATATCATAAAACAGTTGATTGTATAATATTTAAGATTGGTATGAACTATCACTTAGATTTTACACTTTAAAAATTTCATAATATTTGTAAGTATATAGTTGTGTAGATCGTACATTTCCATCGAATTGAAGAACTGGACAATGAATGACAATCATTGAGGACCGGGAAGCTCTAGATAGATGTTTCGTTGCCGTATGGAACTCCTCGGCAGTAGGCATTCGTGACTGTGCGTAGGAATCGAGCCCAGGACTTTCGATCTCACTGACTCACGAACGCTCAACCTCTAGATCACTGAGCCGGTATTTAACGGTTTTAATGTTTATTATTTATTTCTTTACTTATTTATTTGAACACATAAATATTGGTACAAAGGGGCATCGAATACATATGAGTCACACAAGTCATTTGAGCTGTGGGCTGTAATACTGCCCGGACATCCAGAACAAACCAGTTGCTTTCCGCAGGAGGCCACACCCGGAGCCTTCGACCTAAACTTCTGATCCACAAGGCATTGGAGCAACTTTTGGAAATGCAGTTCCATGGTAGCCGGTGATCAATAATTGGTTCAAACGTCATTTGTTGCTTTAAGATCCTGGAGCCACTTTGCATCAATGGCTTAGAATGAGGGTTTTAAAACTCTCCTGGGTAGGATCTCCGTGTCCGCCAACCCGGTTAAAGCTCCTACCAGACATTAGTCTTTCGTCCTCGCAATCACGTAAGCAACACTCCTGGTGCGAGAAACTAATGAGTAGGACTTCTCTAACTGTGGCTCTATAGGCTTGGCCATGTGAGAACACTTCGAAATGGACAGCTAACTCTCCTCACCCTCATTCATACCAAGGCATTTATGAACATGAATAATTTTAATCAATCCACAATGTTGGATTGCCATCTCCTATTGTCTTTGTAGCCTTACACCCAACACAGTTGTGCAATACCGTGGATTGATTGACGTCAGACAATAATACCATTGGATTCTGAGTCAGTGATCTAGAGGTTGGGTGTTAGTACGCAAGACTGAAGGTCCTGATTTCAATTTCCGGATGCAGAGTCTTGATTGCTGATCACTGAAAAGTCCTATACTGAAACATAACAGCCATCAAGTGCTTTCAGGTTTTCACTGGTACTCTAACATTGGTTGGCTTATGAATTTACTGAAATTCATATTTAACTGTCATTCACATTTCTAAAGAGTGTATCCCCCTAAAGCAGAAGAGGAAGAAGTAAACTTCATACATACATGTACAATCAACAGTTAAAATTATTTTGAAATTTTAATACTACTACTAACGTTATGAATAGTAGTAATGATAGTAGTAACATAAATTTTGACAGATCATTACAACTTCACTGTGTTAGATTAGTAAATATTTATCCCTTTATTAGCAAATATTTACATAACCTAATTCAACTAACTTTTCTTTTTAACTAATGAAGTTACACTGGCTTTTTTTCTTACTTTATCTACATTCAAGTCTACTATTTGTTTAAGGGTTTAATCAATTTATAGACAATGAATTTATTTTTATAGTAGAATGTATGAATCTGTTAAAGCTAGACAACCATGGTAAACCTAGAAGCAATGGATGAACGTTTCGTCTCAGCATCGGACTCCTCAGCATCGAGCATCTACAATCCCGCTCGCGTATTTCGAACCCAGGATCTCTTGGTCGCGCACGCGCGCGCGAACGCTTAACCTCTAGACCACTGAGTTGACACTCAATGGTGTTACTGTCTAACTTCAATCAATCCAGGAAAACGCGTCACTCTGTGCGTAGGACTCGAATCCAAGACTGCTTTTCAGTTCATGACAGTACATGATGAAAACTGTCGTCAAATGAGCTAAGCACATTGATTTGAATAATGGTGAAATGCTTATTTGGAATTTGATACGATATGAACATATCATAGCTCTGATGAAGATTGACAGATTATCCGTCAATTCAAACTAACTTGTATTATAAGGTAAGACTTAGATCTTTTTTTAAGGTAGCATACATCAGTAAATAAACATCTTGATACTCTTTAGTTTAATACATACTTCCGTTGTTGTACACTAATAATGAAGAAAAAGCTACATTTAACTGAATCATTCCACTGATGATAGTTATGATTGAATTTCGATCAATCTTTGTTGACAAACAACTCCACCTGTAGCTCTTCTAAAGTTGCTGCCGGTCATAAGCCTAGGTGAAGGAGGAGGGTTGGGCATGAGATCGGCAAACCCATGATGATGATGATGATGATGATGATGATTTGGATGATGATGATGATGATGATGATGATGATGATGATGATGATGATGATGATGATGATTTGGATGATGATGATGATGATGATGATGATGATGATGATGATGATGATGATTTGGATGATTTGGATGATGATGATGATGAAGGTTCCGGTTAAACTTCAGTGCAGTGTTATTGATTGATAGAGATGAAGAAACTATTTTTTGAAATTATCTCATAGTATTTAATTATTCAATAAATATCTCATGTTATAGTTTAAATGATTCAACTATGTCAATAAATTTTCGACCATTTTTTTTCTCTCAGAAACTAACAAATCCATTAGTACTTGTAGACTTTGTCTTTAAATTCGAGTTTTCACTTCAAATTAACCCCACCCCCACTACTATTTCTACACCACCACCACCACCACCACCTCCACTACCACAAATACCACACACACACACACACACACACAATGTAGACTTTTCTTTACTAATCATAACGTAAAATACATTTTGCCATACGAAATCATTTATAATAAATTCTCACATTATCATTATGTCTGCTATAATGAATCAAATGAGTATGAATGTTAAGTTGATTCATTTGTTTGTTTTTCACGAAAGTTTTTATAAAGATCTATTGAAGGCAACTGAACTGGAACCAAAAATACCGTGGTTCATTAAGAGTATCCTTCATTCAAGTTAATTCCAATATGGATACTGTTATATCTGGACGAAGAATGAATGAATGGTAACTGTTAGGATCTATTTATAGACTAATATGACATGTATATATTTACTGTATAACCATTATGTAACTATATTATACATATATATTCATATTCATTGTGTTATAAGCTTCTGTTTGATCTGTTAATTGTTAGTTGCAGTCTCTCACAATTACAATCACTTTTTGAATCGATCTTGTACAACTGTGATTTTTGACGAGACTTTAATTTATGGACGAAACAATCAGATTTTGGATTTCGACTTGAAATTCATTTATTCATTTTGGTTAAATGGAGTCTCGACATTATAGCTGATGTTTGTTCGTGATGAAAACCTTTAATCTAATTCCTAACGTTAATCATCATCTGTAAATTCTAATTCTAATTCATCACACTGATTTATAATCATCAATTAGCCCTGTTAAGTAGGTTACTTTAGTCTCACCATATTTTCATTTTAATCGACTGGTCTGATCTGGTTTGTTCGTAGATAAACCCAGTATGTATAAAATATACGATTCATACAGTGTAGGCTGATGTTAACGTACTAGACTGAACAGGTTGGTTTAGGAAAGAAGTTACCAGTAAGAACACTTGACTGCTCGTACAGGTTTATACATTATTAGTTTGGTCGTATAAGTTGATATCTTTGACTGACGGTCGTATCATGTGATATAATTAATCGAGCATAAGGACATTAAAACTGTTGGATGCCGAGTTAGTGATCTAGAAGTTAACCGTTCGCGCACGAGACCGAAGCCTCTGGATTCGAATCCCGTGAGTGGGATCATAGATAAACACTGTTGACGAGTTTCACAATAGGATGAAACGCCCATTCTGTGTTTTCAGGTTTTGAATGATCTCAATCAAGACACAAATTCTAAATAAAAAATAAAAAAAATGTATCATTACCTTTTTTGTGAAGGATTCAATTCTCTAGCTAAATTATCTTCATAGAATTTTTTCAATATGGTATGTCCCAAGACAAGTTCATGTTTAAATCTATTCAAAGAAAGAAATTGTAACTGGGTTGCATTTTTTTTCACGTAAACATTACAAAATGCATGTAATGCATCATTCTATAATTGAGTGTATACCATAAGACTACAAGGATCATATTGTATTGATAGAATTGGATCAAATGAATGGCCTAGATAGATACAACAGTCTTTAATATTTAGTGATTAATCAATATATAGTTACTATCTGGTATAAACTCTTATAGTTGGCATCAAGCTAATTTCTAAGGTGTATATTTCTAAGTTATACTAATACGTCAGTAGTATCTTATGTATAATACTACTAATTGATGTTGGATCTAATCTTCTTAATAGAAATTAGATCGTTGAAATTATGAGTCATTTGAACCTAGACCATCATGGAAAACCTGGAAGCACTGGACAGCCGTTTCGTCCTAGTATGGGATTCCTTAGCAGTGTGCATTGACGATAACGCCCTCCCCCCACGACTTATCAGTCTCACGCGCGAGCGCTTAACCATCAGATAACTTATGATTTCAACTATTGAGACTACTAAAATCTCCACAAATCCCTTAACTGACATCAAGAGGCATTTCTTAGAGTTCTAGTGAATGGTCGTGACCAGTGGAGATCAACCAGGTCTGTTGTGAGATAATAACTCACTGAAGACATTGATATACGGTGGAGCGATTTTGTGGATTGGTTGAACTTTGACATTAAAACCGTTTATGCCGGCCAGCTCAATGGTCTGAAGGTTAAGTGATCGCGCACGAAACGGAAGGTCCTGAATTCGGATCTCACGTGTGGAATCGTGGATGCACACTGCTGATGAGTCTCACTATAGGACGAAACGGCTGTCATGTGCTTCCAGGTTTTCAATGGTTAGTTGGCAACTAATCGTATGATATAATCTATTCAGTTGTACTTTATGCAAATTGTACTCTACATATGTGTTAACATGTTAACATGTTAATTAACTGTTTGTTCTTGATATAAAACTACGGAATATGGACTTATTATATCATCAGTGATCAAATATAGAACATTAAAATCTTGCCATAAGCTCATCGAGTTTACAGGAAGACTATAATTTATGGACGAACCAATCAGATTTAAGATAAAAAGTAGTGGATTTTCACGCGAAATTCACTCATCCATTTGGCTAAATAGCGTCTTGGCATTTAAGTTGACGTTAGTTCATGATGAAAAGTCGCTAATCTAATTCCTAACCGTAATCATCAATTGTAAATCAGAATCCTGATTCTTCAAACTGCCTTATAAAAGTTTTTTAGTCTTATTAAGTAGGTAGACACTCTCAAAGTCCTTATAACGTCGCTCTAAAGTCGTCCATAAATTATAGTCTCGCCAGATTGTATCATTATCAACATGGCTGACAGGGGTGTAATGACCTACTTTTGTCAACAGAACACGATTGGTTCAATGAAAACAATTATTATTATAACCAATTGTACCAGTGATTGTTCTACTGCGCCCGTTTGTTTAACTCTGCTAATGATAGCCATATTGGCCTTCCACTGGACTCCATCACACTTTTGGGCGGTTTGTGACTCTACGCACGTACTTTTTCCTGCCGATCCCACTTGTACTTCTTTGGCGCAATCTCGGTATTCTTTCGATACCACGAGATCGCCAGCAAATATATCTCGACTAAAACCATCATCTGCCTTCTGATATTGGCCTAAGGGGATCTTAGTGGTTAATTGGCACATAGTCTTGTAATGGTGTTCATAGTCAATCGCGACTCGACTCCACGCTATAGGGGTATGAATAATGTTTAGATCGAAAGATATCTGAACATGAATTTCAGCCGATCTCCATAAATGATATCAAACATTGAACTAATGATTGCTTAAAAGAATGAACTTGAAATAAGCATCATAAACTTGTAAAGTAGAATTGATATCTACCAACCATTTTACTTGTCACCTACACTAAATTGTATAAATATGTTTATGATATAAATCGGTTTACTCTGTCATTGAATGATCAATTTTCATTCCTGGTATTAAGAACGTTGACAATATTCTGCATAATATAATTGTAGTGGTAAATAAATCCTCAAAATCAAAAGCTCTGTAAGTCTTTGACATTTGATGCTGACCACATTAGTTTTAATAGAATTATCTAGCTGAAGGCGCTCGGTTATGTTTCACGAATGGGTACGCTATGGTCAACTACTCCTACAACAATTAGCCAATTCACATGAGTCACTTCTCGATATATTGATAGCCTATCAAATATATCTTTGAACCTCTTTGATTTTGACTTTTGATTTCACTGGGTAAGCACAGTTCGATTATAGAAGGTGTTATTGGTTAAGGTGTTGTCAAACTTCAAATACTTTTGACATCTTCATATTTCTCCAATTTTGATCGTATTCTGTGCTCACAAATCAAATCAAAACGTACCTACAGTAGGCAAGATATCTACAAACATTTGTTTCTATAAACAACAGTGATAACTACAATACAGATATCGAAAAGATCGGTTTTTAAGAACACATACCTTCTTAGTCGATTTTCATTCCATTGTAAACCACGTGCTGTTGGTGAACCAGGTCTTTGTCCATATAATGGACCAAATCTTGCTTTTGATTGACACATATAAACAGCCAGATATGTTGCTAATAAACATTTTGGTCCGGTACAATGAAGAACAGCTACACGATTATTTATAGTATTGATTTCTTTAGATTTTTTTATATCATTTGTTGATGGAATATCATGATTATGAAGCCAAAAGTCTAATTGATCAATAGCTGTCACTAATTGTTCCAAAGCTGGAGCAAGTTTTCCTGCCCAGAATAAATCAATTACAGGAGTCTAAAATGATAAAAATCATATACTTAAAGTTTCTGAATATTAAGATAGAGTATACCAGTATACTGGTTTGCTTTTAAACAAAATTACAATTACGATAATTAATGACTTCTTACTAAACTTTTCATCAAGAATAAGACTACTGTTATTAGTATGTGTTTGAATTCTTTTAAATTACCTTAAGGTGATGTCTGTTATTGAAGTTATGTTTCATCCTACTTTCAGTTTCATAGGTTGCTTGAAAGGTTTAACTTTATACTGATGTAAGTTGATTGGAAGCAATCATCAGGAAACCATGTTGACTTATAAGTCTAGTAATATTAGAAAGCTAATGTTTAAACAGATATATATGCGTGACGATACCTAGTCTACTGAAACATTTGTAACGTGATTTAAGGTAGACTATAAGAAATCTTGTTTAACCCTAGGTTTCATGCCAGCTGACACTCCTCAAAGAGGTGTACCTACAATCATAACGTTCCATACAGGAATTAAATCAATATCAGCCAGCTTCAAGGTTAATGACATCATCATTCATCGATCTCGGATCACATATCTCAGTGGTATTATTCAAAGAGTCTATATTAACAAACAGTGACAAATAATTTTTCTCCCAGAACTCAATAAGAGATAAACTACTAACCTGTGTATTTCAGTAGTATATTATGAATAGTGAATAAATTTCATAGCATATTAGTATATTTTGATGTATTTACACTTAAACATAATATCAACCTATTATGTAGGTTGATATAGACTTCCAGCCAGACGATACATATTAATAAGATGTGCTTGTAACGGTGAAAGAATGTCACAGATATAAATATTAGAATGGGGATTTGTGGAGAATGTAATAATTTTAATAGTTGAATTCATGAGTCGTTGTAAGCTTGATCACCATGGAAAACCTGGAAGCACTAGATGGCAGTCTCGTCCTAGTATGGGACTCCTCAGCAGTACTCATCCATGATCATAGATACAAGGGACATTAACACTATTGAGTGCCAACTCAGTAATTTATAGGTTAATCGTTCGCGCACAAGACTATAGGTCTTGGATTCGGGATTGTGGATACACACTTTTAAGGAGTTTCATACTAGGACGAAACAACAATCCTTTGCTTCCAGGTTTTCTATGGTAATCTAACTTACATGGACTCATAAAATTGAACTATTAAATAAAATATGTTTAAAAATTCTAAACTTACTCGACTTGAAAAGTGTAATTCTTTGGTGAAACCGGACAGATTAAATATCTGTAAATAAAAATTGATAAGAGAATAATTATGAGGTAAACAATTCAGTCGAAACAAAGGACTAATCAAGATCATTGTTATCATTAAATTAAGTATGAATAAAGGGATTGTTGAGATTGTTGAATTATATAATTATATGCCAGCGACTGACTGTAACTATATAAGTACTGAAAAACAGAAAGTCTTTATTAATGGGTATTCTTAGGAGCGACTGTCCCTAATGAGTTCTCACAGTAGCTAATGTCTACGTTTTGATATTCTATGTATCTCGCTTACCTTTATGAAGAGGAAATCATCTGAGCAGTTAGTTATGGACATTAGTAAGTGTTTATATTTTACCGTTGATGATACTTAGAACTATAAGCTTTCAGTCTTTCTTATTATATATTCAAAACAAATTGCTGAGCATATGAACTCTCTGGAGAATATGTTAGACATCTGAAAAAAAATAGGCAGTATGTTCGAGTCTTAACAATAAAGCATTACAGTTTCTATTCAATTGATGATCCCAAAATAAAGGACGAAACATGTATTATTGATCACATTACTACCTATTTATCAAATATGCTGAAATTTTGCTAAAAATATACCATCAGATTTTTATAATGATCAAATGAATTCAATCTTTTGATTTTTATTCGAATAATGAGAGAGAAGTGATTAACGGCATGTTATCAGCACGACGCTCTAACCAACTGAGCTACGGAGCCGATTAACGGCATAGTAAACGACAATTCAATACCATAAAAATTTCATTATCAATATTGAGTACATTGAGTGAATAAGTCGATTTAATAAAGTTAATATCATTATTATGACTTGTAGTAGTTTCAGTAGTAGTAGTAATAGTAATAGTAGTAGTAGTAGAAGTAGCAGTAGTTGTAGTAGTAGTAGTCGCAGTAGTAGTAGTAGTGTGGTGTGTGCTATATATGTAGACATAAGTAGTATATGATGTTAGTGGTGAAAAGAATGTCTGACAACAGAGAGACGAGAAGATCGAACAGTAAATGTAGTCGGTTGTTCCCCAATGGTGTTCGTGTTCACTGCAGTAATAGTAGTAGTAGTCGCTGTAGTACTAGTAGTAGTCGAAGTAGTAGTAGTATTAGTAGCAGTAGTGTTAGTAGTAATAGTGGTATTGTAAGTGGCATTATTGGTAGTATTGATAATAGTGTGAGTAGTATATGTAATGATGTGAGTAGTATTAGTAGTAGTATGAGTAATAATATCATAAAACTTACCCTATAGTTTTCACCATAACGTTTTTCAAATGCTTTACATAACCATCGAGCACCTTCATTATGATCAGTTTTAGTTGCTTCAGGTGGATAGCTTACAACTAAAAGAAGGAAATAAGAGAGGCATAAAAATCATTAAGGAGTACATTATGCCATAAAAAAGATTTCATGAAAGTGACTTAAAATGAAAAGTTAATGATTAATGGATATGGAGGATTGCAAGCTATAGTTGAAATCATTGGTTAAATGAAGCTAGACCATCATGGGAAACCTGCAATCACAGGACAACCGTTTCGTCCTAGTATGGGACTCCTCGGCAGTGCGCATTCACAATCTCACAAGTGTGATCCGAATTCAGGACCTTCAGTCTCGTGCGCGAACTCTTAACCTCTAGATCATTGAGCTGATCAGCATCCAACGGTGTTAATGTCTAACTTCAACTAATCCACGAAATTGACCGACACGTCCACCATTGTCTTCAGTGACTTACTATCTCACAACAGACCCGATTGAACTCCACTGTTTACTGCTTCTCGCTATAACTCCAAGAAATACCTCTTGAAGACAGTCACTAGTGAGTGTATGATGATTATAATCAGAGAAGGACTTTGCCGGTATTATAGTACTTAAATAGTTGAATTCATAAGAAGTCCAATACTAAGATGAAACTGCCGTCCAGTGCTTCCAGGTTTTCCATGGTGGTCTATCTTCAATTGACTGATGAATTCAGTTATTAAAGTACTATAACATCTACAAAACCTATATCTGATCATGAATTCATTGCCATAAATCTGTTTATTAGTCATGTGTATTTACATGTACTCATTAAATGTTTTTCAAATTATCCAGAATTAATGAGTGAAACATTCGAACATATACAACCATGCTAGTTGACTTGTATCCTCCTACTCACTTGTCTTTCTAAACAACAAGATCCTAATTCTATTGACTTGATTCATCAAATATCCTCAAAGATGAAACCAGATCTCAAAGAAGTGATATGAATGACGGCTAACCATCGATTACATATGCTTTATACAAATCTGTTTTGTGTGCTTATAAAGTGGTTATTTTTTTCTACATGACGATGTTACCAACGCCATGCTCACCCCTCTTTCTTCACCCAGGCATGGGACTGACAGTAACTTTAGAAGAGCTATAGGCGAACTTTAATACGAACGTAAAGACAGTTCGTTCTATTGTACGTAGCTAAAACGTAGAGAACTACCACAACCATCAAAATTGTACATAAGGTACTCTATGTTTGTAAACCGGATACCATCAGTAACATCCTACTGTGGGAGAGAATAAACCAACTTCCGGTTAAAGAGGAAATTAGAAAATGATGTTGGAGTTGGATAAGACACACATTACAGAAATTATCAAACCGAATCACGAGACAAGCGCCAACTTGGAATCCTGAAGGTAAACGAAAAAAGAGGAAGGTCGAAGAACATGCTGCATCAAGAATTGGAAGTAGACATGAAAAGGATGAATAGCAACTGGAAAGAATCGGTAAGCATTGTTAAGGACAGGTTTGAGTGGAGAGCGCTGGTGGGTGGCTTATGCTCCTCGACGATGGGTAGTAGTAAGTAAGTATATCATGACAGACAAGATCTGACAACAAATTGAAATGTCAATTCATGGTGGTCTAGCTTCAATTGACTCATGATCTCAACTATTGAAATGATATAATTGACATTAATTCTTAAGATTCAAATGGATAACTGTGGCTAATGCTCAAATATGTTGAATAATTGTCACCCTACTCACCTATACGAGTGAATTAAGAAATAAATATCATTTAATATCAATTCCGTTGTCTGATGGTTAGAGAATCACCAAAAGAAAGATATTTCCTAGTCTCAGTCCCTGACAGGATCGTGGATGTAAACTGCTGAGAAATTTTACTCTAGGATACAACACCAGTCAATCAATCATGAACTATCACTAGTAATTAACTGATAACAAGCAAATTTTGTTATTAGTATGCGGTAGTAATTTAAACAGTTGAATTCAGGCATCGATCGAAGTTAGACCACCACTAAAGACATAAAAGCGTCGGACGACTGTTTCATCATAGTATGAAACTCCTCAGTAATATATATCCATGATCCCACCTAAGGGAATCGAACTCAAGTCCTCTGGTCTCACGTGAGAACCCTTAACCGGTAGACCATGAAACCAACATCCAACGTTGTTATTGTCTAACTTCAAACGATCCATGATCTTTTAAAACCCTATATCCTATGTTTAACATAGATACCTGTCTCTACTTGACACAGATTGTATTCCACTAGTTACCGCTTTACACTAGAACTCTAAAAATATCTATCTTGAATCTAGTTACTAGTAAGAATATGATCATTGTTATTTCAATACAGGGAGGAGGATTGTTTTATAAAGACTATATTCATTATAATAGTTAATCTACATATGTTGGATTGGTTTTTTCTCATATCCCTTTTTATGTTATCCAAAAAAGGGAGAAAAACAATACATAAAGCATAGACCAGATGTTGTATCATTTGACTATTGAATAAAAGAAACAACTACATACAAATCGAATAAAATTACAATCATAACTACATAATAAATACATTCATTATAACTGTTTATAACCATAGAGATAAAAGGAAGCATTGATTATATAGTAGCTGTCAAAAGGGATTTTGTGAAGATTCTAGTAATTTCTATAGTTGAAATCATGAGTCAATTGAAGCTAGACTGATAGGTTCAGGATTCGAATCTCAAGTGGGGGAGGGACGTGATCGTGGATGAGCACTGCTTAAGAGTCTCATACTAGAACAACGGGGCCGTTTAGTGCTTTCAGGTTTTCCATGGTGACCTAGCTTCAATTCACTCATGATTTCAATTATTGATATATATTAGCTGATGTATATAAGTTTATATCCATATTCTTAGTAAAGTTTAAACATCATGGAGATTTAGTTAAGATAGAACTAATTCATAAGGTGAAAAACGATTAGAAATATTTCTACAATACAGAACTACGATACGTTCATTATTCATGTTAGATAATAATATATTGGATACCGGCTCTCTGATGTACAGGTTAACAGTTTGAGGACAAGAACGAGGGTCCTGCGTTCGAGTCCCATATGTGGGATTGTCGAAGTGTATTGTTTAAAAGTCCCATACTATGACGAAATGGTTATCTAGTGCTTCCAAGTTTTCAGTAGTGGTTTAGCTAACATTAACTCATGAACTCAGCTATTAAAACCATTTTAGATCCTTTATATTAATATAACTTCATTAATTACGCCTGTTACTCCCAATGGAGCATAGGCCGCCGACCAGCATTCTCCAAATCACTCTCTACTGAGACTTCCTTTCTAGTTCCATCCAATTCTTGTTCAGTCTTCTCATGTCTATCTCCATTTCTCGGCGTAATGTGTTATTTGGTCTTCCTCTTTTCCTTTGGCCTTGACGATTCCATGTGAAGGATTGCCTTGTGACGCAGTTCGGTGCTTTCCTCAATGTGTGTTCTATCCACATGCAGCACTTCTTCCTCCACTGGAATATGGTTTGTTCTCTCCCACAGTAGGTTCTTACTGATAATGTTTGGTCAATGGATCTAAAGTAACTTGCGTAGACAGCTATTAATAAACACCTGTATCTTCTAGATGATGGCTTTCATAGTTCCCTAAGTTTCCACACCCATACAGTAGAACTCTCTTGATATTTGTATTGAAAATTATGACTTTAGTGTTAGTTGACAGTTGATTAGAGTTCCAGTTAGATTTATTAGTCTTTCTGAATAAGACAGTTCATTTCCAAATCTAGTTTCTGATTGCTTAACAACAAATAATCGGTTATTTTTCTCCCTAATTTTATCATATATGACGAAAAATTAATGTCAGAAATACATATTACTCACAATATATAGGAAAAGATGTTTCCATGAAACGGTCGTTCAATGCTTTCAGGTTTTCCATGGTAGTCTAGCTTTAATTGACTCATAAAGTCAATATTAACTGCCCAACTATTTCCTGGTAGATCAAATAGAAATCTTGAAGAAACATGCACCTAAAATCTTATTACTAACCCTAATCTCACTCTTACTCTTAAATAACTTACTTACTTAAGTCTGTTACTCCTCGTGGAGGAGCATACGCCGCCCACGAGCACTGTTTGCATACAAACTGAATGTATTCGACAGAATAAGTCACTGCATAATCTCAGTTATCTAATTGTGTATATTATTGAAATTAAAGGCTATTTGCTCAGTTCTCATCATATCCAACAATTAATTACTTACGCCTGTTAACCCTCGTGAAGGAACATAGGAAACCCACCAACACTATCCATCAAACCCTGTCCTCAACATTCCTTTCCAGTTGTTTTCAATTGCTATTCATTATTTTCATATCTGCTTCCCAATTCCAATGCAATGTGTTCTTCGGCCTTCCTATTTTACGTTTCCAAACTAGAGCATGCTTCGTGATGCCGTTCGGTGATTTCCATAATGCATTTCATATCCTCTTCCAGAGTCTTTTCCCAGCTTCCTCTTAAATTGGAAGCTGGTTTGTTCTCTAGCACAGTAGGCTGTTGCTAATGATATTCGGTCAATGGACCTTGAGTATCTTGTGCAGACAAATGTTTATAAATCCTCGTACATTTTTGATGATGGTTGTAGTAGTTCTCCAAGTTTCAAGTCCGTACAGTCGAAACGTCCTATTATTCGTATTGAAGATTCCGACTTTGATATTGGTTGGTAGTTGTTTTGAATACCACATGTTTTTCTATTGTAGGAATGTGGCCCTTGATTTGCCTATCCTTGCCATTTTGTCTGCATCAGATCCTCCTTGTTGATCGATGATGCTTCATATCTACGTGAAAAACCTCACATCTTCCAGTGTTTTTCCATCAAGTATGATTGGTTTGGTGTTCTCCATGTTGCATTTGAGGATGTTACTTTTTCCTATGTGTATGCTGAGGCCTACTGATGCAGAGGCTGTTACTACACTAGTTGTCTTCATCTACGTTTGTTCGTGTGTATGAGATAGAAGGGTTAAAAAAACTCTAACCGGATTAAACAAACTAAACCATTCTTACTCTTAAACCTAACTCTAACCCCCTAAAATCCTAACCATATATACTCAGAAAGAACATTATGAAAACTGCTAGAATCGTTTTAGCATCCTCATAATGATACAAGAGGACAGTTACTATACAGATCAATATGTCGTTTTTCATTTATCCAGCATAAAGTCACATAGAAGACTTCGAGAAGATTGTTTTTTTAATTATTTTCAATCTACTTACACTTTGTAGGTTACATATTTAAAGAAGCTGATTTATTAATAATGGTTTGAAATTCATAGCAGTTTGTTAAACTTTATTCCTGTTTTATACATTTCTAGTTGCTATGTAATTACTCTACGTGGATTGGTCTAGAGGTTAAGCGTTCATAATCGAGACCGAAGATTCTGGGTTCGAATCCCGCTGGCTGAAACTTGAATGTTCACTGTTGATCAGTCCCATACTAGGTCGAGACGGTTATTGTTCTTCCAGAGTTTCCCATGATGGTCTAACATTATTCAACTATGAAATTACTTTACACATCATTAACATAAAAATAAGAATAATCAGGACTCAGTAGTTAAGTGGATAACGCGGTGGCGTTTGAAGTGGACGGTACTGGGTTCGAGTCCCAAAGTGGACTTCAACTCTGAAATACAGGTACATCCAGCTGACGAGTCCCAAAGAGGACGAAACGCGCGTCAAACTGAATTCCACTGTTAGCCACTATTCATCTTTGCTTATAAGCATACCTTGTCTAAATTCACCGTTTATTATCGCTTCTTAATATTTATTCTCAGTCATAGATTGCATCATTCAAATTAACAATCATAAACTTGAATAATGTTTAATATTATGTAATATAGTTGATTTGAATAAAATTAATTGAACTATGAACATTATATCCTTTGATGAATGGTTAAGACTATAATCTATGAGTGACATGTGAGCGGCCCCCAAATGCCCTGGTATGGCCGTGAGCGGGGAGGGTTCGCCCTCCCTCTCGAAATACTCTCACACGGCCACGCGTATACAGCCTCTGCCAGGGAAGTCCTACTCACTGCCTTCTCGTAGCGGGGGTGTTGTTTACGAAAATGAGAGGACGAAAAGCGAACGTCGCGCTATAACCGGATCCCAATTCTATGGTGCACATGGGCTCCAGTATCCTGCGGGAACAAATGGCGTATGAACCAACTTTTGGTCACCGGCTTCCATGGGACTGCATCTCCTCACGATGCTCCACTGCCTTGTGGACTAGACCTTTAGGTCAAAGGCTCGGGGTGTGGCCCCCCTAAGAAAACCACCTGCTTCGGTCTGAGCACCCGGGCAGTATCTCAGCCCACACACTAAAACTATGATGAACTATCTGACATTTGAGCGACACTGGAATGACTTTGATGATGTTCACCTAATAACTACGACGAAATGAAGATTATAAACCTATGTGAGGACATTGAATTATGATATGCAGTTGATGGTTAATGTTCGTTTTTCATCATGAACTGACATCGGGTATAATGACAAAATTCTATTTTGTCAAATGGATAAATGAATTTTGCGCCAAAATCCGAAACCTCTTTATCTTATATACCTGATTGGTTCGTTCATATATTATGGTCTTGCCAAAAGGTGTTTTTTTTTATTAAAAAAAACCTGTGTAATATGATACTTGAATTGAACAATGATGTCTCAACTACATCAATGTTTGTTTCATATGGAAACTATTGAAGTTTGTTACATTACGTAATTAGAAATGAAGAATCAATAGAAGACTGTTTTTTTTTAATGTAAGTATAGGACTTCACTGTAATTGTTACAACGTGTGATCCGCCTATTAGAGAGCAGCCTATTATCGATCGAAACAGTGACGCATAAAACACGCGAGCGAGCAGCCTAGAGTCCTGATTGGTCCTGCTGTCCTGTCTAGCCCAGCCAATTGAGTCTAGAACACAAGTCTCAGCCTCGGTGATATGAACCATTATATTTCAAACAAACTCTGTTTATATACCAATCAAACAGACCACAACGTACCATAAAATAGAAAGTAACATTTGTATAAGATTTAACCTTCAGGAAATGACACAAATAAATGTTGACCAATAGGGAAATGACACGTTGGAAGAATGTTGACCAATGGGGAAACGACACTACTTCTCATTCAGGAATAGCATTAGATAATTTCTGGGGTATTTTCTGAATACCCCAACAGTAATGAACATCTATGACCTTATCTGGGTCACATATAAAAACTAATCAGTTTCTATTGGCACTTGGAATTTTTCATATGAATCGAATAAACCTAGAACCATCATTGGAAACATACAATTACTGGATGGTTGTTTCGTTCTAGTATGAAACTTCTCAGCAGTGTGTATCCACGATTCTACATACGGGACTCGAACCCAGGATCTTTGATTCATTGAAAATTACTACAATATTCACAAAACCATATTCTAATAACTTGTTTTTCACATGAGTTGTATTAGATTTACAAGTCACGATGTTTACAAACAGGGTAATACAGGTAAATTATATTGACCAGATCAGTTAATTATATAATTTCCTGGGTTCAAATCTCGCAGGGGGCGAGGTCGTGGATGCGCACTGCCACGGAGGAGTCCCATAATAGGACGAAACGGCTGTCCAGTGCTTCCAGGTTTTCCATGGTGGTCTAGCTTCAACTGACTCATGATCTTAATCACTGATATTACAATAATCTCCACAAAACCCCTTCTGACTATATAATTTTCTGTTTATCTGATTTCCTGATCGGCTTTCATTCTGTAAACCGGATGATTGAATCGTAAATTATTGATCTGCGTAACGAATATTGTAGTAAACGAGAACACAAATGGGAACAATCGAATGTATTAGAACACAAAATTACAAAAGATCATAATAAAAACTGTGAACCATACAATAAATACTTCATTTGAAAAATGTCAATCAATTGTTTCAGATTTCACTGTTCTTACGTTTCCATACTAACTGCTTTCTGTTCCCGATCTTTCCTCCACGATCTCCTAAACATTCTGTTGCCAGACATTCTATTCCTGACTGAGATAATATACTAGTCATGTTGATATAAATATCATACACCACATTTGATCCAACTTTAAAGCAGTCTATCTTGTCGTGTTTTTTCCCTTCGTGCCACTTTTTTGCAATCTGTGCCTTGCTCACCCTTAAAATGTCGAATCTGTGGCATGCTATCCTTCATAGCTCCGTTGACCCACCGAGCCGTCAACATCCAATATCCACTCAACACCGGAGACGTTTAGCGCCTGTGTTCCATCGACCTGCCGCTACAATCAACGCCACCCCACCAGAACACTTCACTCGGCGTTACCACTCGTCACAAGACCGCTCCAATTAGCATCTCAACTTCAATTCCGCAAAGGCGTCCGCAGAACGATATCCCTCCCAACTTCCTGATTGGCAGCCAACATCAAATATAATGAACAAGAACATAAATGGGGACAATCGGATACACTTGAATACAAAATGAACAAGTAATTATTTCTGATCAAATTTATTTTATATAATAATAATAACAACACATATTATATTAATGATTAAGATCATGAGTCAGTTGAAGCTAGACCACCATTGAAAACCTGGAAGCACTGGACAGCCGTTTCGTCCTATTACGGGACTTCTCAGCAGTGCGCATCCACGACCTCGCCCCCTGCGAGATTCGAACCCAGGACCAACTAGTTTCGCACGCGAGCACTTAACCACTAGACCACTGTGCCCGCATCCAACGGTGTTAATGTCTAACTTCAACTACCTTCAACTGATTCATGATCTTAATCATTGAAATTACTACAATCTCTACAAAACCCCTTCACATATTATATTATTTAATAACTTACCTAATAAACGATCTGTAATATAAGTTAAACGAAATCTTTGTCTACCAACACTAGCTAATTCAGCTGATAAACTACATACTAATGATGTATCATATGAATCTTCTGTATGTTTTGACCATGATTGATTTGATTTAATCTTTTGTTGATTATCTAATTGTGAAATTGTTATATTAGACTGAATATTCAATGGAGTTGTTTGTATAAGACTAGGACTTATACGTTCATGTAAATGATCAATTTCACTATGATCTGATTTAAATGATTTTGATGGAAATGGTGCAATCCATGCAGATGGCATAGAGATATCATCGAATGTTTTATTACGATTAAGCTATTATGGAATAAAAAGTAGAAAGAATAAATATATAGTTAGTGTATTAAATTAAAATATAGGATGAGATTGTAATTTATGCAAAATACCTGGAACGATTGGACGACTGTTTCATACGAGTATAGGACTTCTTAGTACTGCGCATCCACGATCCCGCCTTCCGAGAGATTCTAACACAAAACCTATCAATCTTGCCCACTGTCACTTAACCTCTAGACCACGGAACTGGGCGGCATCCAATGGTGTTAATGTTTGACTTTAATCAACCCACGATATTGTGCCATCGACTACTATTGTCTTCAGTGAGTTACTATCTCACAGCACATCCGGTTGAACCCTACTGGTCACTGCTTCTCATTAGAACTCCAAGAAATACCTCTTGGAGACCGTCACTAGTGAGCATATGATGATTATTATCAAAAGGGGTTTTGTGGACATTTTAGCAATTTTATAGTTGAGGTCATGGGTCAGTTGAAGCTAGAGCATCATGGAAAGCCTAAAAGCACTGAACGGCCGTTTCGTCCTAGTATGGGACTCCTTAGCAGTGCGCATCCACGATCCCGCCCCCCCCCGCGATATTCCAACACAAAACCTATCAGCCTCGCCTGCATCCGCTTAACCATTAGACCACTGAGCTGGTCGATATTCAACGATGTTAATGTCTGATTCCTGCCAATCCACGAAACTGACCCACTGTCCACCATTGTCTTCAGTGAGTTACTACCTTACAACAGACCCGGTTGAACTCCACTGATCACTGCTTAATATTATTTTATCTCTATATGCTTACTCAATCTATTCACGATGTTTCAAATATAAAGTATATATACGTGTTTTATTTTAATGGTCAGTAGTACGGTTTTAGGTTGCGGTTAACTTAGAAAAATCCACGAAATAAATGTATTTATGTTATTCAAACTTATAAATCAATTCCTCTTGCATCTGGTTTTAAGATCGGATGAGGAAGGAGGGTTGGGCATTGGTTCAGCAATTTCATTCTTTAGTTGTTCTAGGGTTACTGTCGGTCCCAAGACCGGGTAAAGTAAGAGTTAGCAACGTTCTCCTGTTAAAACAACAACCTTGCCAAAGAAAACCTTAACGAGAATAAGTTTATAAATCAGGAAGAGAACTGAAGAATTCATCTACATTTCATGTAGGTACTTTCAGAGAATATTAGATTGATGTTTTTAAAAGTGACAACTTCTGATCACACCGTAATCAGTGATACTTAAGTTTTACCGTAGCGGTCATAATATGATTTTGATGTCATAAGTAGAATATGATTTCCAGGTAATAGAAAGATTAGTCCAAACATCTTAGTTATATATAATAGGTCACTTACTAACCCGTTAGCTCAGTGATAATGTCCCAAACTCTGACTCCTCAAGCTTCAGCGGAAGTACCAGTTTTCATAAGATTGTATATAGATCACATTAACTATTGTTATGTAGTGTGATACTTAGATTCAATGTTTTCTATCGATTGTCTCCAATTGTCCAATATCAAAATCATATCATATACTTAGTACCTTGAAAGTACTATACATTATTTACTGAAGCATTATGTTAGTAAATGGATTGTAGACATAATGTTACCTCATAGGAAATAGTCATCTTGTTCTTCTCTTTGATGTTCGTCAACCAAAGTGATTATCGAAAAAGACATCTACACTACTAATATTGTAAATAGTTTATAATATATATGTATATTCATAAGCAGATTATATCATTTTAATAGTTGAGATTATGAGTCAATTGAAGCTAGACCATCATGGAAAACATTGGAAAGATTAGATGGCCGTTTCGTCCTAATTTGGTACTCTTCAGCTGTGCGCATTCATGATCACGCCTTGCGGGATTTGCATCCAGGACCTATCAGTCTCAACTATTAAAATTATTATAATATCCCAAAAAATCTCTTCTGAAATTATATCATATAAAGTACTTTATATACTACTTACGATATATGAAATTTGTTCCGGACGTAGAGGAGAAGAAATCTGAAAAAGAATAAATAAAACACAATTTCATTATAGTCAAATTGGATACAGTATTTCGTGTTTTGTTTATAAACAACAATTAAATGTTGTTGATATTACAAACCAACCTAAGTTGAACAATCATTCACAATCAGAAAGCCTTAGATAGTTGTTTCAATCAAAGTAGTGAACACTCACAACCTCACTATACGGAATCGAACATAAGACCTTTGATCTTATATATGATTCCTAACCCCTAGACATCTGAGCCAGTATCTAAAGGTGTAGATGTTTGTCTTCATTCAATTCAAGATATTGCTCTATCAACTTACATTGTCTATAGCATAGAAATGTTTCACAAATAGCATGGCTGAACGAAATCGTCCATAGTTTCCAATATGAATTCCAAGAATTGAATCTTGAGATAAGTCACTAGTAAGCACATGATAATTATCAGTATTGTGGGGGTTTGTGGAAATCGTCGAAAGTTGTTAGAATTATGCGTGTCTAGTCCTTATTATTAGTGCAGATCGAATGCTATCGATCATGTCGCAATGTGGCCACTAGTCTAGGTGACTCGACATTGTGTGCTTTATGTTGAGATTAGATGGTGGTTGGAGGTAGTCAACAGGGATCGAGTCCGTCGGGGAGCACCAGTTCTCTCAAGATGACAGATATACCTTGTTGATGAGTGCCAAGTAGCACGAAACTCTGATCCAGGATTTCCTGTCAACTACCTCCAACCACCGTCTAACATTCACCAGTCCTCTATTCTGAGAATAACCGAATGGTTAAATGATAAAAAAAACATTGAAATATAATATATGTCACAAACACTGACTTGGATTCGATAATGAAAGCTGACCGTTTTATACTTCGTATGTATCATAGTGAATGAACATATTAAACCTGTCTGAAGAGTCCTATCATGGGACGAAACCACTGCCCTATTCTTTCAGCTTTTCCAATAGTGATGTAACTTCACTTGACTCATGAAATCAACTATTAAAAATAACAATAGTTGAAATCATGAATCAATTGAAGCTAGACCACCACGGAAAACCTGGATGCACTGGACGGCTGTTTCGTCCTAGTATGGGACTCCTCAACATTGCGCGTCCACAATCCCGCCCCCCGCGGAGTCCGAACCCGAGACCTACCAGTTTCGCGTCAGGCGCTTAACCAACTAGACCACTGAGCCGGAATCCAACGGTGTTAATGTCTAACTTCAACCAATCCACGAAGTTGCGCCACCGTACACTATTGTCTTCAATGAGCTGATATCTCACAATAAACCTGGTTGAACTCCACTGGTCAAGGCTTCTCATTAGAACTCTAGGAGTATCTCTTGAATTCAGTCACTAGTGAGCAGATGAACTCATGAAATCAACTATTAAAAATTACTATAATATCCATAAACCTCCCTCCCTCTAATGATAGTTATTTTTATGATTTTTGTTTTACTAATTACAATCGATCAATTTAATGATAATTATCAATGATCAATAGAATTTAATTTGGGATAAAAGATTAAAAAGAAATGATATTGATCACTTGTTTAATGGATCAATCAATGGAAGTCAATAATGATATCTGAAACTGTGATATGGAGTGATACATAGACAGTAACAGTTAAATCAGTAGAGTAAGTGCTTAAAAGTTTATTTAAACTAGGCAATTACAGGAAAAAATAATGAAGTATTGATTAATTGTTTTGTCCTATGATAACTAACTATGCAAATACAGAAGAAAAAGATGACCAGTGTAGCAGTAGCCTCAACAGGAGTAGATCTCAATATACGCGAAGAGAAATGCAAGATTCTCCGATATAACACAACATGCAACAATTGAATCACACTTGATGGAGAAACTATGGAGCATGACAAAACTTTTATATATCTGAGCAGCATCATTGATGAATACGGTAGATCTGATGAAGATATGAACACGTGGATTGGCAAAGCAAGAGCAGTATATTTACAACTAAGGAATATCTGGAACTCAGAACAACTGTCTATCAATCAACACCAAGGTCAGAATTTTCAATACAAATTTGAAGATAGTTCTAATGTGTGGGGCCGAAACCTGGGAAACTACGAATGCCATCATCCAGAAGATACAAGTGTTTATTAACAGCTGTCTACGCAAAATACTTCAGATCCGTTAGCCAGACACTATTAGAAACAACCTATTGTTGGAGAGAACAAACCAGCCGTAAGTAAGTAATTATACCTATACAAGGATTGAAACCATTGTTATTAAATCAGTTGGTCAGTGTATTGACTTTAGATCATCAATTTCAAGTCAAATAGTTTAAACATAAAAACTTCAGTTTGGTATAATCAAAGAATCAATGTTAGACCATCACTGAAAGTCTGGAAACACTGGATAGCCATTTTGTCATACAATGGGACCCTTTAGTAATGTGCATTCACGATCCTACATGTGAGATTCGGAACCTGGACCTTCTGTCTCATCCGCGAACACAATCTATAGACTACTGAGCTGACATCCACTGGTGTTATTGTCTAACTTCAATCTATCTATGATATTGCTCAACCCTTCATCCTTTGTCAGTGGTGTATAACTGTCTCTATTCAACAAAGATTGGACTTTGCTGATCACACTTAGTCATATGTAAGCACATGATTAATATCGGAATGGCGGTTTGTGGATTCTCTGGAGTCCTAGTGAGAAGCTGTGGAGAAAGTTATCCACTTTCAAATAATGGATAAACGGTTGCTCAAGAACACGTGTTGATTGCAGTTAGACGTTAACACCTTTGGATGAAGTCTCACTAGTCTACAGGTTAAACGTTAGTGGGAGAGGTCAAATGTACATATTACATCATTAAAACCAAAGAAAAACATAAAATAGATGGTGGTTAGAGATAGTCAACAGGAAATCCTGAACCAGAGTTTCGTGCTACTTGGCACTCGTCAACAAGGTATATCTGTCATCTTGAGGGAACTGGTGCTCCCCGACAGACTCGATCCCTGTTGACTACCTCCAACCACCATCTAATCTCAACATAAAGCACGCAATGTCGAGTCATCTAGACTAGTGGCCACATTGCGACATGATCGATAGCATTCGATCTGCACTAATAATAAGGACTAGACACGCATAACATTGATCACCACCCAGTAATCAATCAATTGTGAAAAACATAAACATAAGTGTCAAACAATCTTATTAGGTTCGAAAGACATATGGTATTTTCAGTTAAGAAACATACATTATTACATTGATTTATGAAGGTGTTTTTTCTATTTGACCTTATGAGATTTGAACTATGACTGTACAACAAATACTAAGCATATGTTGATTGGTAAAGTAGTTTGTAAAGTGTTTTCTACTAAAGACAATTTAACTTATTCGGTTTTTTTCCACTTAGAAACTATAGGTATTAGTGTATTGAATAAGAAAACCAAGTGAGGACAATCTAGAGTAATTGAACACGAAATTATAGAATCTCATAGTAAAATCTGAGATTCAGTAGCCAAGTGGATAACGCGATAGCATTCGTTGAAACGAACGGTTATGGGTTTGAGTTCAGAAGTGAACATTAACTCTGGGATATAGTCACATCCAATTAACGAGTCCCAATTAGGACAAAGTGACTTTTGTCCTTTACATTGTATTCAATTCCAAAAATGCATCTTATATACCTAATCACTTGTGTTGCTGTTGTGAATGAGAACACCAGTGTTACAACCAAATGTATCTGAATATAAAATGTCAGAATCTTTTAGTAAAATCTGAGAATTATACAGTAAATACTTCACTTGAAAAATGTCAATCAATCGTCTCAGACTTCATTGTTCTTTCGTTTCCATAGTAAGCATTCTCTGTTCTCGTTCTTTTCTCTTCAATCTGTTTAACCTTCTACCATTAGACTTTACACTTTCGACTGATGATACATACTACTTATATCTGTCGTGATCAGTAGCACACACGACATTAGTTATGTGTAATATAAAATGAAGTATCAGAAGCGGTTTTGTGGAGATTCTAGTAATTTTAACAGTTGAGATCATAAGTCAATTGAAGCTAGACCACCATGTGAAACCTGGAAGCACTGGAGGGCCGTTTCGTCCTGTTGTGGGACTCCTTAGCAGTGCACATCCACGATCACGCCTCGTGTGATTCGAACCCAGGACCACTGAGCCGGCATCCAACGGTGTTAATGTCTAACTTCAACTAATCCACGAAATCGAGCGACACATCCACCATTGTCATCAGTTAGTTAATATCTCACAATCGACCCTGGCTTCAAGAGGTATATCCTAGAATTCTATTGAGAAGCAGTGAGCAGTGAAGATCAAACGGGTCTGTTGTGAGATGGTAACTCACTGAACATAGTGGTGGATGTACTGCTCAATTTTGTGGATTAGTTGAAGTTAGACATTAACACCGTTGAATGCCGGCTCAGTAGTCTAGTGGTTAAGCGTTTGTGCGCAAAACCGATGGGTCCTGGGTTCAAATGTCGCGAGGCGGGATCATGGATGTGCACTGTTGAGGAGTCTCACAATAGAACGAGACGGTCGTCCAGTGTTTCCAGGTAATCCATTGTGGTCTAGCTTCGATTGACTCAACTGTTGATAAAATGAAGTAGTTTTCTAAATCATAATTACACTGAATAACTTTTATTGCTTATTCACTAAGTATGTTTTATCTATCACTTTCAGTTGTATAACCCTTCATTAGAGAATTCACTCTATGCCGTAAATGTTAGTATTCAAGGTATTTCCGACATACTGAACATGAAAACATCCACAGAAATATAAAAATTCAATATACGAGAGAACGTTAGGTTTCCTGTAATAGAACAACGGAATGTCAGAATACATTAGTTTTAATAGCAGTATATAATCAATAAGAAGAATCCAATGCAGACGTAAACGTGAGGATTGGTGAAGCAACGGCCGCATTCTTACAACTGAACATTATATGCAACACAAAATAACTGTATGTGAATCAGACCTTCAGGTTGAATGCTCTGGGTGTGGCTCTCTAAG